GTCCAAAAAAGCTACTGCCCACCGTCCATTACTTACTTGCGCGCTTCCAACGTACGTGCCTTGCTTGCCATATCTCTTCTTTCCTTGCCCCCACAACGTGCAGAAAGAGAAAATATGTGAGTGAACGGATGGCGTGTACCGAGGCGGGCAGCAAACGGGAATGACTCGCCTCGTCGATCCGATGTTGGAGGCTCTGATCCGCCCACGCATGTTAAACATCAGCAGTCAGTGGGTGATGATCCCCACGAGGCCATGCCCTCCAGCTGATCGGTGCTCGCTCCGCGCGGGTTGTGGCTGTAGAGAGAAAGTTGGGCGCGTACAGACACTTTTGGGGGTTCAGCGCGAGAAAAAAAAAAGACCATCGATTTAAAGTGCACTCCAATCGCCAAACTGTCCTATCGAAGTATTCCTGCCTGCGTGATGAATTTACCCATCCCTAAATGTAGAAAGAAGCAAGAAAGACCACCAAGATCCGGGCCAGAGCAAGGCGTATTGGGGGATGCGAGAGGGATGAGGGGCTGGATTTGGTAAGAGGGCATGGTATGAGGGAGAACTTTGGGAATTGGTGAACAGAATATGGAAGGGGGGAAAACACAGCCCGTCGACTTGCCCATTCGTCCTCCTCGCAGTCCCCAACCAAGATATGCCTAGAAGCCCGGACCGCCGCGGCCAGATGATCCAATCCAAACCTTCGTTGTCGCTGAACCAGGAAGTGCAATCCATTAATTCGCGAGGAACGACCGTTCCTGATCAGTCCAAAGCTGTGACTGATCAAGACCTAAGCGTGTCCAATGCCATGCGCGCTGCAAAAAAAGGTCCAAAATGCCGTTCAAAGATGGAAACCCAGAACCGTTTGCGCGCGCATCTGGATGGCAAGAGAAAATGTCCAAGCCTGGTTCTCGGCTTTTCCGCTCGCCGCCAGAGCCAGAACTGGGTGGGCATGGCGGGAGGAAAGCAAGACCCATGCGTCAAGGGGTCCCACGATCAAAGCACAAGACACTTGTGTGACTTCTTCTTCGGGGCAGGAGGCTCCAGAGCCGCAACAATTGCCTGGGGAAGTAGTATGTTAGTAACAGATCTAGAGCTGCGACATAGGCAGGTGTAGGAGGGGAAAGAGCAAAACAACAGATCCAACGGGAGAATGCATACCTCGTCAAAGACGTCCTTCAGCTTGTACTGCGTCAGAGCACTGCACTCGACGTACTTGACCGCACCCAAATCCTTTGCCATCCGCTCGCCGTCCTCTTTCCGTACCGGAGACATCTTCTGCTTAGAAAGCTTCTCGCGGACGCTGGGGTCCTCGCGCAGATCGACCTGGGTGCCGACGATAAGGCAAGGGACGCCGGGGCAGTGGTGATGTACCTCGGGGAACCACTTCTCGCGGACGTTCTCGAAGGAGGCAGGTGATGTGACGCTGAAGCAGACGAGGAAGACGTCGGTCTGGGGATAGGAAAGGGGGCGGAGTCTGTCGTAATCTTCCTGACCGGCGGTATCGAACAGTCCCAGTGTGTAAGGCTCGTCACCGATCCTGCGTGAGAGAAAAATCCACCATTAGCGAAATGGCCTACCAAAAGTCCAGCAACTTCTCGTCTCTTGCGGCTTCTTTTCTCTCTCGAATCCCCATTGTTTTCGATTCATCCACTCGTCGGCTCATCCGCCCTTTGACCATCTCTTGGAAAGACCCTTTTGCATATGCTTTGTGGAACCCGATCTTGGATTGTTTTGGAGGTGTTGCAGGAGAGGACTCACATAACAGTGACGGCATAGTTATCGAAGACGGTCGGAACGTATTCGGAGGGGAACTTGTTCGTCGTGTAGCTGATGAGAAGGCATGTCTTTCCGACCGCACCGTCACCGACGACAACACACCTAGAGGAGGAGAGAGGGAATCAGTTTTTGTTGCAAACAGAAGTGGCTAGTGACATGCGCGCTTTGATGGCTGCCCATTTGCCGATCGTCAAGTTCAAGTCAGGATTGGCAACGGTGAATGGAAGCCTTCCCCAAGCCCCCGGCGACAGGGAGCAGTGGAATCCGACAGCAACAGCGACGATGCAGACAGGGCAGACGCAGCAGGCAGGCGAAATAGTGGAAAGGGCGACGACAAGCCGTCAGGTGTCAGATGTCAGGAAGGGGGGGAAAGTGAGAAAATGAAGCCTAGCGAAAAGAGGCTCAAAATGTACGCACTTGATAGTAGCGACGACCATTGTCTAGATCAATGATGTTCCGTGCAGGAACAGAGACCTGTGGAAAGAAAAATTAAGACTGGTCTCTCAGTCTCTCCCTTATCGCGCGGCGCGTCGTGTCGTGTCGAGTGTATTGTCTTGTCGAGGTCGGGGTCGGAGTCGGGTGTGATTTCCAGGCGCAGGTAGTTGGGGGTTAGAGTGGCAGTGGGCAAGAGGAGTCGAAGCGGGTGGTAGGTAAAGTGTGGTGGTAGTGGCAGTGGTAGTGGTAGTAGTATTGGTACGGAGTAGTAGCAAGGTATGGAGGAGACTAGGAGCAGTGGCGGTGGTGGTTGCCGTTGCTGCAGGGCGGAAAGATGAGGTGGGTAGTGGAGACGGAGAATCGGGTCGAGGTCGAAATGGGGGGCGGGCGACGACGAAGGGGAAGAAAAGACGTGGATTGGGTCGGGTGCCGGTGTGGTGGTTTTTTTTTTTCTCTCTCTCTTTTCGGTGCAGGTGGTAGTGGTGGTAAGAAGAAGGTGAAGGAAGAGAGCAAGGCAAGGGACAAGGTGACGGCGAGGGACGCCAGCAAGGTAAAGGGAAAGAGTAAGGCGAAGGATAACGGAGCCAAGGCAAGGTAGGGAAGGAGCGAGTGAGAGAAGGAGGTGACAAGGTGACGGAACCCAACCAAAGCACAAGGACGTCTACGCAGTAAGGTATTGTGTACGCAGTACTCCGTACAGTCTGGGAGGTCACAAGTGAGATGTCGTCGGGGATTTTTTATTTATTTTATTTTAGCAAGGTAGCGATGGCGTCGGCGGTGGTCTCGACACACGCTGCAGCGGTGCATCAGCGGCAGAACACACGCGGGAAAGTGGGACACCTCAGCAGACTGCCAGACTGAATCTGGGAATAGAAGGGGGAGGACGGGGTCGGGTAAGGTAGCAGCAAACTCGACCTTGCGTTAGGGGTTTTGAGTTTTATAAACTCCCTGAATTTTCTTTCTTCTTTTCGTCGAATGAGGTCAGCATCTGGGTGAGAGGAGAGCGAGGGGAGAACAAGAAAAGATGAAGGCGTAAGGCAGGTACCTAAAGGTAAGTTGAGTCAACAGACGGGTGGAATTGACGAGTGTCAGTTGGTGTCAGTGTCAAGGCAAGGCAAGGCAAGACAAGGCAAGGTAATGGGAGGCTAGAGGAAGAGAACGTTGCACACACCACACGTAAGTAAGGCAAGGTGCAGAGACAGACGAGACCGAAAGAGTTGTATGAGGCGCGCGTGGTAAGGCATGTGTTGTATGCTGAGATATTGTACGTCTCGACACTCTCAGAATGAAGACACTCAATTACTATCATGTATACCTCTCATGTTGTCATCTTCGATTCGAATGCAAGGAAACTGAACATCTGCCCTGGGTTGTTTCGGCCAACTATCTACCCGGCGACAACCATATCCACAAGTACTTATTCCCGAGTCCCGTCTCCAGGCCTACTGAATGGAAGGACGAACAAAGACGTCCATCATCTATGGCAGTTGACAGCAAGAACCTGGGCAAGAAGTACGGCTAATAAGCACAGGGTAAGTACAAAAGGATGTAGCTGCAGCATATACAGGAACCGTCCCTTCCTGTTTACCCAGGTTCTGGTTCTCAGCAGAGAGGTAAACTCCAAGGTAATTTACAAAACCTCGCAGAGAAGCATCCTCACAAATAATTACTGTCCAAAGCAATTCGGAAGACCTCACGAGGGCAGCAAACCCCCAATGAGTGACAGGGTCATGAAAAGGAGAGAGATGGAAAGGGGGACCCCTCGTCTCCAATCAATGGGCAGTCGAAAAGCAAGCAATTCCAAAGTCTCTCGTCTCATCTTTTCCTCATCAAAGTGACTTGTTGCTGGACCAAGTGTCTCGTACCTCGTGCCCTGAGCCTAGGCGTCAGGGTGAGCCAGGCTGGGGGCGGGTAGAAATTGGAGAGTGCCCGTGTCGTGTCAGGAGGGTCCCTCCAGGTCTCTGATCTGTTTACCACCACAAGTCCATAACCGCCACCGCCTCTGCTCTTCTTTGCTCCCGCATCAAAGTCAACATGTTAATTTGGTGTTTGCAAGGCTGGTCTTTGCAATAATTGGGGTTGGAAGGGGTGGTACTGGTCAGTGTTCCAGAGGAATGGATAGCGCCTGATCGGTTGGCGTTGGGGTGCTTGAGATAGCCTGGTGCAGTGCTAGCTGGAGGACATGGCCTAACCCGGAAGGTCAAGAACGTCCAGCCATGTTCCCTTGGTCCTTGGATTGTGTGGAAAGCAGTAAGGTATGTACGGAGTACGAATAGGCACCAAGGTATCGAATAACCCAGTGCAGGCCGCAGACGTGGGTTGATGCCGCTGCTGGATTCTGGAACAAATAGCCTGGTCGGGGGTGAGCGGGGCCTTCTTCACCAATCTTTCTTCTCGCCGGCTGCCATTCCCTTTAATTTGTTCGACGCTCACCTCAACTTCCAGGGGTTACGTAGCCAGCGTCGGTGCCATGCCCCGGTCTGCTCATCTCAGTCTCAAGGGCGAGTCCTCCCTCCTGTGCTTTCCGCTAATATCAGAAGGGAATGAGATGCGGTAGGTATACGGACGGGAGGGCAAGCAGCCACCCTTTTGCCGTCTACGGATAGGTATTTCGTATTAAGGTGAAGGAGGCACCAAGCCAACCCCTCATGCGCTTGTCTTGGATACCGAGAGGTGTGTTTGGGGCCATTGCCGATGTTGCCCGGTACAGCGCACAGCGTAGTTCTGCCCACCCCATCCGCACCAAGAACCTGGCCCAACGCTCTCCAGCAAGTGCCAGCAAATCTACCCAAGCGGACCTAGGTAAGGTGGTAAGGTAGGCGCGTGGCCACGATGGTGATGAGTTGGACAAAAGTCTTGGGACCCTCGGCTTGATGGTTCCGTCTGGCTCGGGGTTGAGGGCGCGGGGCATTCGTAGCTTGCTCCTCGTCTTCGTCTTGATCCTTCACCGCCCTCACTGACCACTTTTTTAACCCGTAAAGAGTGGATCGTCCCCCCGTCTTTGAAAGAGCGGCATCCGCTGGCTTGGGTCGAGCTGAGAAGATCTTTGGACCGGCTTCGACTCCAGCAGCAATGGTGTTGCAACTTGCGACTGCTTCTGGTAACCAAGGGACCAAAGCCGCAAGCTGTTTGTGCTTGTGGTGCCAAGTGGTGTTGCGTCTACTATGTAGCGTGCCCGAAGTGTCGAGTTTTGACAGTCGCCCAGGTGAGGTATCCGTACATTGAGAAACCCTCGTCACTTCTTTGCACATTGTGTAGAGGGACTTGGGCCTGAGGCGTTAGAATTCCGTTCCCCACCATTCTCATGTTGCAAAATGCATGTGCTTTTACCTCTGTTGAAGTATACGTAACTACGTACCTGGTAAGCTTCGACGAGGAAGATGCAAGTGCAGAGGTAGGCAACCACCTGCCTGCGTCTCTACCAAAGGTGTAATAAGGCACCTTAAGGTACACTTTTAATCCGCGTAAGTACGCTCGATTCGTCTTGGATGAACGTCTATGGCGGGCAGGAGACATCATTGCTAAACCCTACTCGGTCCATCGTCCAAGCTTCTGCAGCAAGTCCCAAGTAGCACAGATTTAGAGTACTCCTCCACCAGCAAAGCACAAGCATAGGTAACTTAAGGTAGGCACTGTGTGTGCATCACGGTCCCGGCATCACGCCAGCGAACCCGCATATTGCATTGGCCTTTCATGGTAGGGACGCTTCCCAACGCACATCTCGCCAAGTGCCGTCTGCCAACGGTTCAATTGTCTCTCTCGCACCTACCATAGAGGGATCATTCTCGTCCAACTAACAACCCTTTCGCAGCGGAGCGAGGTGGAATGTGCCCATTCCCACCAGTGCTGTATGCTCTTGCCACTTTGCAGAGACGCCTTTTCACCAGAACAATATCAGACGATAATAGACCGGCACCTTGACACCTACTCCATAGATGAGGTAGGTTTCCTCAACGCATGAAAAAGAAAGGAATGCCCTCATGTCATCAACAACTCAGCTCAGCCCAGGTTTGTCCAGCAGAGTTTTCACCAAAGTTTGCCTGATCTATTTTTCTTCACGTAACCGTCCCATGCCTCTCTCCCCTCCCTAGGACCAATCCGTATTGACGCCTCCTCATATCAGCATGGAAATCGTAAGTTCAACCACAAACGTCGGCGACCTCCCGCCACTCGCGGCCTGCAGCGGCCGTTTATCGAGATGGGAAGGGGCACCGGATCCAGACCACAAATTGCTGCTCTTCGTTAATGCTGCAATGCACTGCGGGATCTAAGCTACTGGGCCCCACCGTCTCAGACCGACACTAATTAATGATCGACCTGGTCCTGAGATGGTCTTCTCGGGCGGATCCGCACCTCCATCGACAGCAACGCGGACCCAGAATAACATGCATTTGGGTATCGACTACTCGACTTCGTCTTACGGTTCACATCGAAGCATGGTCGTGAATGCCCTTCAAGTAAGACAGGCGTGATAATTACGCTGTCGTGCGTCAGCTGTCATTGCCACATCGCGAAAAAAGGAAAAAAAATACCTAGGCTGGATAGTACTTGGAAGCGCGGACTGACCCTATGTGTGGCTCGTTAACCTAGAAATCAAGCCGGCAATCCCTTCTTTGTCTTCGGCTCGACCACAAGGTCTTGAACCTCGACGTTTGACACTGACACGCCGCCATTTCGTCGCTCGCTCCCGGCGTGCCGTGCCAATTCGATTTCAATCCCTAGCAAGTCTTTCTTCTGCAGTTTGCCGTCCCGGATGCTAAGGTACCCTCGCTTCGCGCTGTCAAAGTGGGCATCGAAACACCGTCAGGCCCGCGAAGTAGCCCTGGGGTTGGACGATGCCTTCCAAGTCATATGGACGACACGCGTTTGAGGCAGTCTCTCATGTACAGGGTATAAGCTAGACGGGAGTCCGCAGCCTTCTTTAATGCTTCGATCCATCCGTCGCTCACGCTTGGCGCGATGGCCCGGTTTGCTTCCCTTTTTGCATTGCGTTGTACGAATACTGTTCTCGATTATTCCTCATGGTCTTCGGCCGAATCTCATCATTATTCCGAGCTGCGTTCAGAAGGCCAAGCTTTGAGTGCCTATTCTCCGACCATCCTCCCCAGTCCCACCTACGTTCATCGCTCAGGGTCCTGCGAGATAGATCACCGGGATCACCGACATAAAAGGACTATCCCCGGCTCGTGCTCGACAGATTGGCGCTGACAACGGGGAATCCAAATAGGTCCCCAACAGGCAGTTGGACCCCATGGCGGCGTCGGTCTGCGTGGCCATCAGTTATCTTCATTTCTGTCCATCATGTCTCCCTTTCAGACGGCATCCTTCCCTGCTGGGCGCACGGGAGCATTCGACAGCAAATCGTATCCATCAATGTCGAAAGCTGAAACAGGAAGCTATGCCAGAAAGGTCGCGTTGGTACGAACGCATTACAAACAACCACCAACCCGACGGCCATCCGACAATAAAAGTACATTGGCAGGGCATGACAGGACCCCAAAGGACCAAAGGAGAGATGTATCCGTATTACTGAACCCATGCTCTCCATCCATCCGTCTTTGTTCTCGCTTTGTTTGCCGCCGAGCCTCGACATCGCCTCAGTCCCTTTGTACGTGTGTTCTCACGTCACCGTTGCTGTCGCATCAGGTTTCCTCGCACGCTTGTTTGCTCAGCCGTTTTCTCTCTTGTCTTTTTTTGGGAAGCTTTGTCTTGGCAGGTGGCATTACCCGTTGGAATGTCTTGACCGCGGGATCGTCGCATGTCAAGAACTTACACGGGGAGTTATTTTGATTAAAAGTCGCTGGGCTGGCGGCTCAAGGCGGACAAGCCCAAAGTAGAGCGACTTGACAATAATTATATTAGAGTATTGTTTGAGCGATGAAAAGGCGCCAAGGATGAATGAAGTAAAGTATAGGTACCGATTGCCGCAGACTCGGGTATTGCAGTCCCTATCTAAGGTACCTACGCAGTAAGGTAGCTCAGGGTTACCCCTGCATGATAGTGCCGTTCCTTCTGCGCAGATCATCACTCAAGCCACAAATTTCCAACGCATGTGAGGCTACAGCCAACAATCACCCTCATGCATAGCCCTACGGGACCATCTCATCTTCATCGCTCAGAGTCAGCTGCATAGGCAACCTCGGCGACACAACACGACAGGTCTTTACCTACCCGTACATGCTTCTGAGTCCCCTTCAGCCGCACGCTTCAGCCACAGCAGCCCGACCCCTTGCATCTTTCAACCTCTCCCATAGCGCTTTGCTCACCTTGAATCCCGGCCGCCACATTCTCATATCCCACACGCCTCGCAACTCACAACCTAACACGCCAAGGCAGACAAGACAATGGAGACGAACCACATCGATAGCCTCCTGGAGCGCTATCTCATCCTGCTGGACGAGTACACGGCCTTGCGCGAGCGCCTCAGCGGGACTCAGGCGGGCATGTATCAGAACATTGCACGAGCCAACTTCTCCGCGGAGAGGGGCGTCCGTTACGGGCCGGATTACTACGACGAGCGCATGCGGGCTTCGAGGACCCTCGAGGTGGCCGTGGATGACAGGGGTATCCCCCGCTTTGAGGTTATCAAGGTTGTGGAGGGGGCTGATGCTGTGACGGAGCCGAAGACGGAGACCACGGAGGCTGCAGCGGCGGCGGCGGTGAAGAATGATGATGTCAATGAGGCCCCGAGCGTGGAGCCGGAAGGGGTAACCTCCGTTGATGAGGAGCAGACGGAGAAAGAGGCCGAGAAGAAGGATGAGGCGGAGAACGAGAAGGAAAAGATGAAGCAGAAGAAGAAGAAGAAGAGTAATGATCCCCTCCGGTGGTTCGGGATCCTGGCGCCGATGCCTTTGAGGCAGGCACAATCGCTCTCGGTGCAGGCCGTGCAGGACATCATCCCCCGGTTAGTCTCGGTGGACGCCGAGATGAAGGGTATCGAGATCGAGATCCGCCGGGCGAGGAAGAGGCGAGCCAAGGCTGAGGCTGCGGCGGCTGCGGCGTTGAAGAGGGACGATGTCGATGAGGGCGCGGAAGCTGTTCGGCATGAGACACAAGCCCCGATGGCTGCAGTCTGAGTTGATGTGAGGGGGTTTCATTTCTTGTATCGATGGAGATTTCGATATTGGTCTGTAGCCATCAATGTGAAGTTTTCTTCCGAGCCGGGAAGACTATGAACTCTACAACCCTTTTGTTCCTCGCGAGACCTTCGCCTAGGCTGTAGATTATGGCTGTTCATTTCAAGGCGATAATTTGAAAAATTGTGCACCTACTAAATCACCTTACTTGGGGATAACGACATTTGAGCGTGATTTTCGTTCCCTGCCTCGATTACTCTGACATTCAACCGCAGTGCCCCAGAACGAACTTCCTGAGTTGCAAGTCACTTCGTACAATAAGTGAGATAGAGGGAGAGAGAGACGCTGGTTCTTTCTTTATTTTTTCCTTATTAACTTTATGAGTCAAACTTGGTATAGTATTCCGTTACAGTTAGCTCAACTGAATTTTGGCACTACGCAAGTCGTACAGCCCATATTTATATGTGAGGGTGGTTTACAGAAAATCGTTGTTAATTTCATTGACGCATCAGAGTACCTTAGTTGATGGATATTCTCATCTATCAACCTCGCGGCTTCGTGGTTAGATTCTCTCAGCATCATTTGAGCGGGTAGTCACTCAAATCTTTGCTGGCTAGATGGAAATCTCTTGCCACGTATGTCTGCGCACATGGATTCGCCAGTTACAAATGATCTGGTTGTCTACGAAGCTGTAAAACTAGCGAAGTCTATCTAACGTCTGCAGCACATCGTCAAAGGACTTCCTCAGCGGGTCATCCGAGCCCACGTACTTCTCAAGCTGCCCAGCTATGCCCAGCACGGCGCTCGTGGAGTGTACGTAGCGCTGCCTCATACCATACGGAGCACCCACCAGTAATGCGGTGGTGAGCTGGAGAGCCGCGATGTGAGCCTCCTGTACCAGCGCGGGCTGCTTGGCTTCGGGAGCGTGCCAGGCGGCTACAGTCGTCACGAGGGCCATCCACTCTTCCTTCGAGCCGGTTTCCTCGCCCTCCACGATCGGCAGAAGGATGCGGACAATCTCGATGGCGCGCGCGGCTTCGCTTTCGTCACTTGACGTGGTTGTGGATTGTAGGATGGCCACGAGGTCTTTGGTCAAGACGTCCCAGCCGCTGTGTGTCGTGAACTCCTCCAGCCCAGCCTTCTCGACCAGCGTCCCCTCCAGACCTACTAGGATCGGTGATCGGAAGTCGAGACTTGACGGTGAGCTCGACTTGTAGAGGTCGAGGAACATGTCCGTCAGCCCTGCTCCTTCCTTCCTCAGCAAGTCGTTATCGTCCTCGCGAAGCCAGATGGCCAGGGCTTTGACAGCTGCCAGGATTAGAGGGTCCTCGTGAACGTTGCTCTTCTTTGACTCCCAAGAGATTGTCAGTCTCTTCCCCATGGAGGTGTCGGTCTCCTTTGCACGCGCTTCGGGGTGTAGGCCAAAGGCGCCTGCCACGGACGCATCCCACCTGTCTCGGAGGAACTCGATCGCGAGAGACAGGGCCTCCGAAATGGTCCGACGGATCTTTAGTAGAAAGTCGGGAGGCATCACTAGCGCAGCTGACGATGAACTCTCATCGTCGAGGCTCTTCATCAGATAGCCAATGAAGTGCGTTGTGACGTCAAAGGCCGAGCCCAACCGTTGTGCGATGGCTGGGTAGATGGGATCATTGAGAAGCTCAAGGAGGCGGGGAAGGCTGGCTCTGGTGTCGGTGAGGAGGAGAGTGATAAATAGGTACGAGAAGGGCTTATCATCCTTCTCATCGCTGGTGAACAAGAGTTTTGATGCTTCTGAGGGGTATACCTCAAGCAAGGATGCAGCCGCAATGGTATAGGCGTTCCTTGCCTCTGGCGTAGGCCGGCTGGCCAGAAGTTTCTTGATGAAGTCTGTGGATGTTTTGATCCACTTTGGATTCGATGGTAGGGACTATTCAAGTGTAAGTCAGCTGCCTGTATTGTCGTAAAGGGGAAGCTACCTTGGGATCTGAATTTCGCAGAAATTTGCCGAGGAACTCGAGCAAAGTAACACCATCCGTGCCGTTGAACGTCGACACCAGAGCTTGAATTGTCTTGTCTATCTTGGACTCCAGGACGATCCTGTCTTCTGCAATGTCCATGCAGTTGATCCAAGCAAAAGAAAAGATCTCGAGAGCAGACGGGTTGTTTGGGGCGACCTCAACTAGGGGAGTTACATCCTCGATGTCGAAGAACACCTTTGCTCCTTCAGGAAAAGCGGCCATGGTGAGAAGGGTCTGAATAATCATTTCAGAAGTTTCTCCAGAGCTAGATATATTGTAAGTGTGTATACCAAAGTTTTTTCTGTAGGATAGTGGCATACCTTCGTAGCAAACTGGACACCAAAAGAGGCATTCTTCCAACAAGTCGTTTGTCTCTTTTCCCTTGATCTGGCAGAAGCAAAGCAAAAGTATGGATAACTGATACTGAGAGGTCCAGCATGTTTTTTGCGTCCTTCTGGCCAGATTGCGTAGATGAGCCTGTCTTCAGCAGCCGGTCCAGAAACTTGGGGGATATGGATTCCCAAAGACCCGAGACGGTGTCTGCATCGTTGCGCAGCTCCTCCGAGTTGTCGAGTACACTTTTCAACAGAGCTAAGCCAACGAATCTAGAGGTATCATCTTTGGCCTTCAACATACTCTGGATTTGGTCGAGCGATGCGGTTTGCTGCGTTCCCGGCGTCGACTGAGAGACACCAGGAGGTGCTTGCGCCGCGGCGGACTCCGCATGAGCTTGGTCTGCCATATTTACGTCTTCTTGTTGTCGTCGATGTTCCTGGAGTTCTGCGTTGACGTGAATAGTAGTTCAGACAAGGCCAAAGAAGTGAGACGGCGTGTAAGTCGAGTGTCTGAGTTCTTGAGTCGCAAAACCAGTGGGCACCACACACACGGACGACATGTGCTACAGCCTGGCCTCTCAAAAATAATGAGCTTTCTTGTTTAAGAAAGTGTGCGATAATTGCAGGCTATCAACCCCACAGGAAATGCGCAAGATGCCAACATCAGACGAAAGGATGCCGTCGTGAAAAATTGCCCCGCGCTGGAAAGACCCAGATCGCTCAAGGAAACCCCCCCACCGTCAGATGCATTCCATCAACAAGACCCCTGCAGGTGGTTCCCTTGGCCACTTGCCCCGGCGTCGCATCAGCCGCAAGACGGACCGCAAGGAGGCCCGAGCTCCCACACCGAGTCAGCCACGCGCGGCTCGTTACCGAACAGGTATCCATCCGGCGACGGGGAGGTGATACCGTTTCCGTCCTGTTCAAGAGAACCTTGAAACGACAACAGGATGGCTATGATCTGAGGATACTGGGAGTCAATGTCGCCAGATTCGCACCATGGCCGGTCCTGTACACTATGATTCGTCCGCCTCTTCCTCATCGCGTCCGCTGAATAGCGGCGCCGGCAACAGCAACAGCAATACAGACCCCGCCGATCGAGACGAATTGGACTTCTGGAGCGAAGACGAAGACGTCGCCGATGTCCTGATCGAGGACCCGATACACGAGGACCTCGACGAACCCCTATCTTTCAAGCGAAAACAGAAACAAAACGCTCTCTCAGCTCCGAGCCGCCTCCTATCCGCCTTCACCGGTTCGCGATCAGGCACTGCCTCCCCTCACTCCTCGCCGCGAGCGCGAACGCCTACCCACGATCCAAACCGATCACCTCGGAGAGCAGGCGCACATGGCCTTACGAGCCAGGTTACCAAAGATGGCGCGCCGCTAGATTGGTACGTGGAAGGGCCGGGAAGGAGAGTGGGATACGAGGATTTGACGGCCATCGATTGGATTTTCGAATACACAAAGGAGCGTCAGCGTCTGCGCGTCCTCCATTCAGGGGCGCAAGGGCTGCTTGGGCTTTTCAAGCAGCTCGTAGATGCCAGTGAGGTCTGGATCATTCTGATCTTGACTGGCATGGCTGTTGGCGCTGTTGCTGCTGGCATCGACATAACCACCGACTGGCTTGGCGACCTGAAAACAGGGTACTGCTCCAGCGGCCCAGAAGGAGGCGCATTCTACCTGAACAAGAACTTTTGCTGCTGGGGTTACAACGAGATGTCAAAGTGCGGCGGCTGGACACCCTGGGCGAAGGCTTTGGGGGTTTCTTCCGGCGGTGGAAAGTGGTTCATAGAGTACTTCTTCTTTCTTGTCCTTTCTGTAAGTCTCGCACTCTCACAACCTCGCGCCTCTTTGCTGATGAGTTGAAGGTCATTTTGGCATCTGCCGCAGCTATGCTAGTCCAGGAGTACGGAATGTATGCCAAACACAGCGGTATACCCGAAATCAAGACGGTGTTGGGTGGTTTCATTATCCGAAGGTTTCTTGGCAGCTGGACTTTGATCACCAAGTCATTAGGTTTGGTAGGTCATAAGTTCGTTCTTTGCGTTCGTACCACGTCGACTAACCCATACAGTGTCTTGCGGTTGGTTCAGGCATGTGGCTAGGCAAAGAGGGACCTCTGGTTCACGTTGCATGTTGTTGCGCCAATCTCTTTATCAAGCTCTTCAAGAACATCAACGACAACGAGGGTAAGCCAAGTCTGCAAGGCAAATCGCGTTTTTTTACTAATGTCCCGACAGCTCGAAAAAGAGAGGTTCTCTCTGCTGCTGCCGCCTCTGGAATTTCGGTCGCTTTTGGCTCGCCAATCGGAGGAGTGTTATTCAGTCTAGAGGTTGGTACGACCGGGATTACTCCCTGTTCTATGCTAATCGCATACTAGCAACTCTCATACTACTTTCCGGACAAGACCATGTGGCAGAGTTTCGTCTGTGCCATGACTGCTGCCGTCGTTCTGCAGGCATTTGATCCGTTCCGCACCGGGCAGCTTGTCATGTACCAAGTCAAATTCAGCACGGGATGGCACGGCTTTGAACTGATTCCGTTTGTCTTCCTTGGCATCCTTGGTGTAAGTGCATACCACCGTAAGCCCATGACCTCAACTAACAATCTGACAGGGAATATACGGTGGCCTCTTCATCAAAGCGAACATGGCCGTAGCACGATGGAAGAAGAACACGCCGTGGCTACCAGGGCCCATTACTCAAGTCGCTGCGATCGCCCTTCTGACGGCGCTCATCAACTATCCCAACCATTACATGAAGTTCCAGACGTCGGAACTTGTCTCCAACCTATTTGTCGAGTGCTCCAAGTACGTCGACGACCAAATCGGTCTCTGTAAGACTGGGGCCGCATCAGCACCAACTATTGTTCTTCTGATATTTGGGGCTATCCTTGGTTTCTTCCTCGCCACCATCACGTTCGGCCTTCAGCTACCTGCTGGCATTATTCTGCCTTCAATGGCTATTGGAGCTCTGACGGGCAGAGCCGTGGGTATCATCATGGAGATCTGGGTAACGAACCACCCAACGTTCTTCGCATTTGCCTCCTGCGAACCAGATGTTCCTTGCGTAACACCGGGAACATATGCCATCATTGGTGCTGCAGCTACGCTTGCCGGCGTCACTCGAATGACGGTCTCAATTGTTGTCATCATGTTCGAGCTCACAGGAGCTCTGACCTATGTACTGCCCATCATGATCGCTGTCATGCTGTCTAAATGGGTGGGAGATGCGTTTTCCCGGAAGGGAATTTACGAAGCATGGATCCACTTCAATGAGTATCCCTTCCTGGATAACAGCGAGGAGATGGTCATCCCCGATATCCCCGCCTCGCAAATTATGACTCGCATCGAAGACTTGGTTGTGCTCACCGCGACGGGCCATACTATTGGCAGCTTAAAGAACATTCTCGACACGCACACCTACAGAGGGTTTCCTGTTATTTCAGATCCCCGTGAAGCCATTCTGCTGGGATACATCTCCCGTGCAGAACTCACCTACAACTTGCAAATGTGTTCGCAGCCACCGCGATCGCTTCCGCCAGAGACGGAAGCCTTCTTCTCTCACCAGCCCCTCGCAGACCCACGTACGACGCTTGATCTTCGACCGTGGATGGACCAGACGCCCATCACTATGGCGTCAAGGTCTAACCTGCACCTTGCCGTCAGCTATTTTCAGAAGCTCGGCCTGCGCTATGTTCTGTTCAGTGACCGCGGTGCTTTACAGGGTCTCTTGACCAAAAAGGACGTGTGGTACGTTCTCAATGGCGCAGAGGAGACGCGGCGGACGAGTGGGTTGTCGAGAGATATGGGTGTCGAGACCGGCCTCACGAGAGAGGGCGGCGGTGGCGAGCATCAGGGTCTGTTAAGGGATGACGGGCATGAGGAGGGAATTAGTCCTGCAGAAGATCGGGGTCCGATTTTATAAGATAGAGCGTTATATCGTGATAGTGAATGATTGTACGGATACTTTAGACACATACATGCATAAATGGGAACTTCGGAACTTGGTAGCTTGGTAATTCGCGTGGCATAACGCGGCCCCTGTCTGAATAGTATGCTCACTCAGCTGGGGTTCTGTCTTCTTTCCGAATATCAAGCCATTGATCGGCCCAATGCCCGCAGGTGATAGATCAATGGATTGTATGGTGGTTCTTGTACCTTGTTGCGGGGACTTGAAAAACCACCGCAAAGCCAAGATCTAGTTTCATGTATGGAGAAGAGTTGATCTGCCGTTCTCTACTCTTAGTAACGAATACACTTAGGTTTGAAAGCAGACCTTCTTTCCTTCCCCCTCTGGTGCTCACTCACCACGGGGTCACGCCGAGAACCCATCCTACATTAAAGCCTATTCACGAGCTTCTCGAGGCACTCAAGTTGGCACGACATGATGAATTTCAAGTAGAAAGTACCAAAGAAGACCCAGCTGGAGCGTCGGCTTGAAGAATTCATGTTCTGTAGGAACATGGACCTGGCCGGTTCGCTGGGTCGTTTCACTGCACAGTCTTTTTGTTTGCCGTTCCCTCCCTCCCTCGTCTCCCTCTGTCACCGTTTATTCCGCGACAACACTACCAAAATGGTTAAGGACGGAGTCTTCGAGAAAGCAAGGTGTTACATACGTACTGGCTGAGGAGTTTCGAAAGGCCAGAAGAACCCAATACGTTACCCGGAAGCCTGCAGGCAATGGCTCTCTTTTGGAAGGTCACTTGAAAGAGATCGATCCATCTGCCCAGCGTTCTGGCCATGGCGTGTGGTATGGAAAACTAACCTCCTTAAGTACTGTTTCTGGCATTGATGGTATTCACGGTTCACTGCAGTGGACAAAGCGTCTTGATATTATGCCCGAGTTCCAAGTAGATCTAGGAATGAAATTGCCGAAATTGTCGGTGCGATTGCTTCAGTTCTTGCGCTGGCTCGGCACGAAATTACCGCCGCGAACTCTAGGTTTGAGGCTGAGAATTGTCCGTCACATCTCGCGGATTCAACTAGATTCGCGACATTGTTTGCGAGGATCTATGCCATTCCCTTGTTACACCCGCAGATCCGAACGGCGTTCTTCTGATCCAAACCCATGTATTTGATCTACAACAAGGAACGCCCGAACACACCACTGCCCTGGATAATAGAATCATTCTCTCGATACAGCACATAGCGAAGGCGTGGAAGGACAAGACCAAGACCCCCGTGTCTGAAAGGACTTTACCCATCTTATGAGTGTATTGTAGCCATTGTATCTAGATGGATCTCCGCCGATTGAGTAGCCTCACATACTTGGTCAATCTTACGCATATGCCGTTTACTTCTAACAGACATCATGAAACGACTATAATAAATTCACATCAAAGCTCAGAACGCGAGTTGCAATGCTTCTCAAATAACCCTTCAAAGCTACCAACTCGGAAGTTCCGAAGTCACTCCCTACTAGGCCCATAAGGGAACCAATTGAAGTGGTCGTGAGCATTATCCTAATCCGGGCCCAACTTTCGAAAAGAGATTCAAACATCACGCCACTCCTTGCGTCTTTGTCTCAGCAATGTACGGGACGGCCATCTCGGTATTGGTTCCCCCACATCACACAACACTCGAACATGATGGCATTCTTAAAACTCCGAGGTTCTGTCCGACGTACATTAGGCTAGCTAATAGGTATGGCAAGGTGGGTTGAAGATTTTGAGCGGAAGGATTAGGGGATGGAAGTCATGTTGAATATGATGTTCATTGGTTTTCACATGCGTTTCTCTTGCATCCCACATCCTCAAGCGTGTAGTTTTTCAGTAGCAAAACTCGTCCAGAAGACAATTTCTAATGAGATCACCCACATGGATTCAATAGCCATTTTCCTCAATCACGAATGAGGAAGGCAAACATCAACCACAGTCGTCTCTGTGCGATGAAAGAACTGAAAAAACATCCCTTGTTCCCGCTTAACATGGTTGAAAAATATCACCCACATGGCTCGTAAATGCTCCCTATCAATACAAAGCTGAAACTATTTCTTCGCAATACATTGCTAGTGTTCCATGACGCTTAAATAGCAGAAAAGACAAAAGGGGTATCTTGAAATGCAGTCTGACCAGCCCAATACAAAGTCTTGAAGTTCATGCTCGTGGCAGATCCACCTCCCTGCCAATAAAAAAGGCGGACGTTTCATTGACGCCTTGCCTAACTGAAGAGAACCGGGATTGAATACGCTGGTCCGTTAAAGCCCCATCATTCGAAGTGATCCCGGGAGGGCTACGTCGACCCGAGAGCCATAATACACCACCGCGGCGGTGTCCAGTCCGGAAATAAGTCGCAAACGGCCTTCATCGCCGCCTCCATTTGCCTCGCCATCTGCTGCTCGAGCACGCCGTTCGAATTTGCAGGCACTAGCTCAACCTCGTCGTTGTAGACAGGGTTTTCGTCCCGCGGCACAAAGACGAGCTCTTCTAGCTTGGGCATACGCGCGCGGATCTGCTTGAGGACCTCCACCGTCAGGTTGGCGGCGCTCATGGACTGGTACATTGTGTCGACCCAGAAGAGCGAGTCGTTGATGGCAAGGCGGCGCACTTGTGAGATGTCTTCGGGATCGCAGAGGGCCATGACTGTGCGAAATTGCGCCTCGGAGGCCATATAGCCGTCGCGGGCGCCAAAGTAGAGGACATCATGGACCTTGTCGAAGAAGATTTGGCCCGGGTTGCGCGTCATGCCGAAGCTGAGGTGGTACGACTTGAGGGCCTCGAGGCGGGATTCATGGCAGGCGTGGAGGTTGGTGGGTACGGCTGTGTACGAGGTACACCCGCTCGACGAGGGCCTTGGTGACTGGGCGTGGGAGGCGAAGGAGAGAGACTTGGCACCGCACCGGATAGGCACAACCCGCGGTGGTGGGAGGTTGAGGTTCCAGATCTTGAGGCGGAGTTCCACGGGCAGCCTAGGGAAGAGATGCTGTGATGTCTTCGGTCAACAGAGCTGGGCGCGGCTACGGGCTATACGGGAGATCGACGGATCTGAAACGTACAAATTGGGTTAAGGACTGAGGTGGTATCGCTTGCGCGGGGCAGCCGGTTGTTCGCGTTCTTGGAGCGGAGGTTATCGTGATGGTTGACATGATCTGTATGGAGCGAGGCCTGGCGCGAGACTAGCAGAATGGTTTTGCAACGTCGAAGTCCCGCAATGTGAGAATGGATGCCGAGAAACGAACGGATGTGTTTGTTAGGCCAGTGCGGGACACGACGACAGGTTGATGGAGGGGTGGCAAGCGTGAGTGGTTATTATATCGGCCGCGACGCCGCGGGTACCAGCGCTATCCCGGGCAAACGATACAAAGGATAAAGGATATGCCTGCCAGTCTGCGTCCCACAAGGTCCAAAGCGACCCGAGACATCATTAGACTTCTTTGACAAATACCCAGCCCCGGTTCTCCTCACAACACTGGGGTAGGAGGGAAAGCTATGTGCATGCCATCTTTTTCGTGATTCATGACCACTTGACGAACACACCCCCCAGACTGCATATGTGTGTCAGGGAAGAAAGTGTGGCTGCCCAGAACCCGAGGCTTTGGGTCGGGGCGACCAGGGATGTTCGCGCTGCTGCTCGCAGGATTCTGACGGTCATTTCTCCCATTCCAGTTAGAGTGTCATCGGTGACATAGTACTCCGTACTCCATAGTCAATTGTTAAAGTGGTCGGGAAGTTCGAGGGCAGGGTGCCGTTCTAAGGAATGGCCAACATCCGTCTGCACGATAGAACTGGAGAGATATTGGCACTGAGCCATGACTTCAGGACTCTCGTAATTACAATGATATTCTGCCGTATTCGAGCCAATGACGTTCGATGTACCCTTGAAGATGGAATACTCGTTAATCTCAATGTGAGAGAAGAGTGTGAGAGGTTCTCTGCAATGCAGGTAAAATATAGAAGCCTTGGGAGTCTCGAATTCGGGCCAAGGGGTGCAGATCTGCGGGAGCGCTGCTGGGAAAGCCAAAGCGGTGCGAATTGTGATGGGCCGGACCCATCAGGCACATGTGAAAATGCTGCGGATAGACAAGGAGGGCTTGCTGGGCCTGGCTAGCACCTGTGTGGGCAATCAGGATTCCCGTCCGCTGTTACCTGCTTTCCTGAGTGTTGTGTGCCTGTTTGGTCCTCCCGGGAGTCGAAAGAAAGGAATTCGACCGGCCCGGCCGTAAGTTGGTCTGTAGATCATTAGAATGCAATGACGGGTGATGAGCGCCTGGTTGGTTCCAGTCAGTTGGGCTGAGCCAGGGGTCAGGGGCCTGGACAGGGGATGTCTCGGTGGCCGCTGCAGTCTGCTTATGCTGTAGTCTGTGTGTCTGTGTGTTGAACCAGGGCCTTTCTGACGAACCATTGAATTTGAGTGGTTCTCAAGCGTCGTATCCCTCGCTTGGCTATAGACAATCTCAGCTGAAGCGGAGTACGTAGTCCCGTCCTGGTCCGGACTTTTAAAGTTGCTGTATTGGATGACATTCAGAGAAACCCTGCTGCAAGGAGGACAATGTCGCCTGTCAAAACCCAATGATACTCTGTAATTCGCACAAAGAGGCAGAAAAATATCGTGTCTGCCATGCGGGACATGGATCAACGACTGACTGACCTGCTGCAATGCATCTTGATGGTGCAACAGGAGTCAACCCGAGCATCTGGGACACCCAAACCCAGAGGGACGGACTTGGGAGCCGTGCCGCAGTGAATCCCCGTGGCGCCACGGTGAGACTTCAGTTGGCGATTCGACCTGTCACTTCGTAGCCGACTTGAATGGGCGAACCGTCACCCCACAGTCTCTGGCTGCCGAACTCCGAGTCCTGGGCCAATACTTGCAGTAGCCAGCTGAGTACGGTAGCCATAGTGCTGTAGCTGGCAACCTTGAGACCTTTGGCTTTCGCTAATGTGCTGACGATGGCTTGCTCGACATTCCACACCCGGTGGACGTTGAGAGCCAAGCACCTAAACTCTCGCTTCCCACCGATGTGCAGTCACGTCTGCCAAGTTCATCGTTCGCCAACTGAAGACTGGTTCGCTAGTCTGTCCAAACTGTTCTGACACCCTGGACGAGCTGGGGTATCAGCTAGGTTCGGCCGCTGGCCCGCTACTTTGTCCGTTAATGGCCCGCGGGCTAGTGCAGACAATTGTTGACATGCGGAGCAGTCGGCCCTACCCGGCGGACGCCAATGTCTCTTGCAGTGGAGGCCAAGAACTAGGCCGGACTGGGCCCAAAGGTATGGTCGTCTTACCTACCTGTGAAAGACCTGTGGACGAGGCTGGTGCCGCAAAGAGCTTCGTGTGCCGGCGATAAACCGACATGGATTTCGGATCAATGCTCTCTAAAACCATACAATGGCCGCTATCCGTGTCTAGGTGCCGCTGTAAGTAGTCGTCATTTCTAGTCCGACATGCCGGCTTATTGATGGCTGCAGAGTTTTGACAGCCCCAACATCAGTTTGATAACCGCAGCCGGCTGCAAGGTTGGTACAGCCTCATCTGCAAGCCTGCAGTTCTTCTTGTTGTATGTACGAATACAATTGCTTGCTTAGCTCACCCTTTTGTGGAGGGGTCTGATACCCTGTCGTCCAGACGCCCCTGGTGATGTGGAATCATTACCATCGCTCTCGGAAGGTGGAAACGCCATTGGTTGAGCAGTGTGCTGCATGTCGCAGCTCAGAGATGAGACACACTCGTGGTCATGGAGAGTTCATCGCAATCCAGCCTTCAGGAACGAACGTGTCGGACAACGTCGCAGTGACCACCAGTTGTCTCGTCCAATCTCCGTGCCCGTACTCCGCAACCTTGTAGTTCCGTGTCCGTGTATGTCATCAGGCCTCAAAGAAGAGAGACCAACAGCAGGCTTCACAATTTGACGCTCAAGTTGGGCAGCCTTTCGTGAAATCCAGCTGGCGAAGTTGTATATTGGTTTTGCAGATACGAAGGAGCGCATTTCTTTTTCGTCGGCGTCGGCGTGGGATGGAGTGGATGGTAAGCCGTCCCAATATGGAGATGAACAAGGTCAACTTGACTCGCCAGCTGGTAACGCAGCTAACCAGTTGTCAATAGAGTAGGTAGGAAGGAAAAGTATCACGTGATGACCCCACTTTCCCCATGGCACTTCCCGTTCATCAGGTGAAAACAAAAGAAGCTTACCTAAGGTAAGTCGCCTGGCCTGGATCAAGGATGCCGGGAGTGCATTTCACCTCCACTCTTCCCGCTTGACGTGAGCTTAATCCTCGGATTCCTTTTGACGGCGGCAAATAAGAACCTCCAACATCAAAATCTCATTCTATTATCACTGACTTGCAGCAACCTCGATTGTGGTCACATCCTGATCAGCGAATAAGCGTTCTTGTTTCGATTTTCGAAACGAGGTTATCTGCACCTTATCATTGGCCTCCCGCCATTTTAAGCGCCGGGGATGACCGCCAATGGGACCGGCATTTGCGGGCTTCTGACCAATGTGAAGCTCACCGGCTGTTCAGGGGTGCCCGATGATCGCCTCCCTCAGAGCCCCGAGATGTCGCCAGCGCGGCTATCTTGCATCGGCGCAACGCTCGTCACGATAATTTTGGACACTACCTTTCTTTCCCCATGTGTGTTCAAGATTACGTGCCGTGCCTAGACACGGCACACGGCGCGTAGTCAGGCTATAGAGAGGTTGTATATGTACGCTCCATGATCGCACTTTCGTAGGTCTGTGATACTGGAAAACCACACAACTGCCTGACTGCCATCCCGTTTTCTCTTTTCTTACGTATTTTCTTTCCTGGAGATTGTTTCTCACATTACGTCTAGTCATTCTCCATTGTAATACACCTCATTTTACGACAATATTTCACGACTTTCTCTTTAGCCATGTCTTCCGATCTCAAGAACGTCACGCAAACCTCGGACTTTGAGGTCGATTCTGATGACGCTCACTACCCTCCTCACGCACGTCTTCTCAAGACAGTCGATACTGCAAGAGTCAGCTTGACGGCTGTGGCCCTTCTCATGAGCATCACCATCCTTGGTACATCAGCAGATGCCCTGGCTGTCTACGATGCCACCCATGTACCAGCCGGCTTCATGCTTCCGCTGTGGCCGGACGCCTTTGACTTGCGTCCAACAGTCGCGCTCGTGGTTGGGAGCTCCATTCTCATAATCGTCAATCTCGTCTCTCTCCTTTTCAGTCGAGTTCAAAGCGTAAGTCAGGTCTGCTTTTTGACATCGTACCTTTAGGAAGTCAGCTCAGACTGACATCAAAAAGCTGCGTGGTCAAACTCTCATCCACAACTCATTGGCAGTGGCCGCCCCATCGGTTGGATTGGTGGCATCGATCATTGCCATGTCCTTCTTCTACAGCATCAACGCATCGATCACGGTCGACACTTTACAGAGCTGGAGCTGCCGCTGGTCCGATGTTGTGATGATGACGAGGCCGCATTTCGGTACCCTCTGCAAGCAAAGCAAGGCGGGCCTCTACCTGTCCATCCTGCTGATCCCGATCGAGGCCATCATCGTGGGAATGGGCGGCTATCAGATGATGCTCGAGCGGTACATTAGCAAGTCCAACAGAGTGGTACTGGAGCAGCGCAAGTCTGGCAGCCCGGTGCCTTCATCAGTCCGTGACGTCGAGGGCGATCACCACTGAGAGGAGCGGCTGAGTGTTCGTTCAAGAGGCCTAGGTTAACGGTCGTCGTCTGCTATGTATCCACAGGTTGGGTCCAGGGGATAAAGAGGAAGCCGGAAACGGAAGTTTTCCATTCTTGTAATCAGGCGTCAAGGATGTGTAGTATTAGCAGAGGTGGGAGCCAACTACGTCACGTATCAGCGTAGGTATCCAATTGTTGAATGTTTTCTGAAGTTTTCCCGTCCCAGGTCTGCAGATGTGGATGGCGCTTCTCGACTTGCCGGTACCAACTCAGGGTTTGATCCGATTTTCACCCTTTTAGCAGCTATGGTCCTCGATCGAAGGCTGCATGCGGCATTCACCGAGGTCTAGCAGCTTGAAGCTTGCAGCCACCAGGGGATCTACGAGCCGCCACTCGAGTGTCCGCTGACGCAGGTGTATCCTCAACATGCATTTAAGTTGGTGAAACCTGAGAAGTTCCTCGATTATGACCGTTTGCGGACGAAATGCTACTGCACTGGAGTGGATAAGGGTCGATGGAGCTGGCCGCCCCGGCTCCGGCACGATATGCTTAGCCGCCCCTCTGAGGATATCGGCATCTAGATTTTTGTTGCTACTTATCCATGTAATCCTCGACTCTACGCAAAGTAGCAAGCGAGGGTTTGGGCCATAGGCGAACGAGTTTCAAGCTTATAATCTTGTCGGTAAAAGAGTCAAGGTGAAGTCTCGCTCAGACCGCTTGAACCCCTTGATAAACCACTGCAAGTCCCTTGGGCGCTGGAAACCATCCTCATATCTTGGAGAGAGCTTGTCCCCTATCTTTGAGTTTCAGTGAGACGCCTTCAAGCCACCAAAGACTCGAGAGACAGCCCAACCGGAGTGAAGGGTCGCAGGGGGACTCGGGAGTCGCTACACCAAGTTAGACGCACGACTGACGACCACGGCTAGGGCGGCTAGGCGCTGCCGGGCGACAGGTCGACGCGGAACGATTGGCCCGAAAACACAGCGCGTGCAGTGTGCTTGGTGAAGTTGGACTTGGGGACTTGGGATGAACATGGAAGAATCAAAATGAGCGCCGCTTTGGCCCTCGACTAACAGAAAGTGGCCGTGAATTCTGCTCATAACCCCATCCTTAGCGTGGTCCACCTCTCGTCTTTTCTCCGGTACGTACCCTAGCGTATCTGCACCTGCACCTATGAAGGTACCTCGTTTGCTCCAGTGCCCACTCATGACTGCCAATGGCTTCCCATTTCCCATGTTTTAGACTACCCGGAAACATAGTCATTCCGTCCAATCTTTGCCAACTCCGTCGAACCCAGCAGAAACACACTCGCCTGTTGTTAATCACCGTCTCCATTGTATTGACTTATTCGCCTTTGACCCGGCCTTCTTCCTGTCAAGACGGCGCAAGCAGAACCGAAGGATGGAGCCAGACGGACGTGACGGACTCGACTACTTCGGACCAACCCTCCAACCGTGAGCTTGCCCAGCCAGTCCAGACGGCTCCAGAGCCCAGAGAAAGCAGACTTGCCACCCCACAAACCACGCGACATCAGCAAACAAGACAACTTCTTCCTCCCTCTCTTGTCAGCGCTTCCCGGATGTCGCACAGTCCATGATGCGGCTGGCCGAGCAGCTGGCTGCGGCGTGCCTTTGACCTTACTCTTCTCGCTCTCGTCTACCGATATTTCAGGCACCACACTCTACTACCGACGTACCGTAGACCGATTTAGGCGCTACTACATTCCAGAGCGGCCCTCGCGTACTGAACCCTGAATTTCTGGTATCCAGACTGCCTTTGACCATGTCTCTGGCCCATGCCACATTAGCACTGACGGCAGCGGGAAGGCTCCAGACCTGCGGAATCCCAAGCAATCTCTCGTGTCGCAGACATGTAGCTTGATAAGTTGAGGGCTGCAGCGGGCAACACTGCCGAGAATGGCAGAGGTAAGGTATGAATGAACCAAGGCACGGTAGGATGATTGCGGGTTTCCAGGTTGTTCACTTCGTGTGCCACCCACATCCAAACTCCATGGTCGCAATCAACGGAGAACCCTGGCAACACACACGTTGTAGTCCAGCCGTAGACAACTTTAGGTAACACGGCCATGCCTCTCCTCCAGACATCGCGTGGTCAATCAACATGAGGTGCAGCCCTCCCACACATTCGCTCTAGAGTAGTTCAAGTAGTTTGTTACCTGGCCACATAATCTACGGTCTGCTACCGAATCTTTCCCATACCAACCGAAGTACTAGATGAGGCAAGAAGCCCTACCTACGTAACGTACCCTGAAATCAGAGAGCACCGGTATTCAAGTGAGGCAAAAGAAGATGCGAGCTTGGGCAAGCTTCGTCTAGTCCAGTTCAGTCCAGCCCGCTTTCTTTCTCCATCTTTCCTCCTTCCGTTCGTTCTGATCGACCTGTCTTGCGTTGAAACCGGGCTTCGTCAAGTGGGAAGAAAGGCGTAGAGTGCGCATCTGGCCTTGGCTTTTTCCGTTTTCAACCATTTCCTCGCGTTTCTGGGTGGCTAACCGCCTCTGCATCGATTCCGTCCCAACGACTCGCGCCCCCATAGCTCCTCCGGCTGACGACCAGCAACAGCTAGCACCATCCATCTTCACCTCATATAATAGTCCCCCGAGTCACCAGGCAGTCGGATCCCGGTCTTTTTGTATTCGCTCGTCCAGCTGTTTGTTTCCCGTATCAAACACCCTCGGAACTCCGCCTGTATTCCGCCCAGCGCGTCTCGTCCCCTTACCACATCTTGTAAGATCGGCAAATCGACTTCTATCAGTGGCTGGTCCTTTGCATCGACCTTCTGCGCCTTTATCATCCTTTCGGCGACTGTTTCTAGCCCTAGCCGCCTCGAGTACGAGAGACTCCGTGCGCGTCGACCGCTCGACCTATCTACACTGCACTCTTGACAGCTGAACATATTACGCCAAGTCCAAGGGGAATCTAGTCGTCCAGACTTTCTCAGTTCGCTAAACATCACTCGACGATAGCGGTTGGTCTCTATTCGGTACGTGTTGAGCTAGGTGGTTTATGGGCGATGGACGACACTAACACGGCCGCGACTAGTGAAAGACGCCGTTCCCAGACAGCCACGTCTGATACATCAGCCCAATTCTTAAGCACCGTCGAAACACCTTTATCTCAGCTTCGGGCCTTCGAACATCGTCGCAGAAAATGGCCGACCCTGTCTCCCCGCCTTCTTCCCCTCCTGCGGACTCTGTCACCCCTAGCACGACCAACTCTCACCCACCCGTCACCCCCGAGAACAAACGTCTTTCGCAGGTCGGCGGTATGTCTTTTGCTGAGAGACGGATGAGTCGTCGTCCCTCCACCGCACCCACTCCTATTGTCGAGGGAGACGGCCTTACCAGAGACGTCATTCACTCTTTGCCCGGCGATACTCGCAACAGCAATAGAAAGTCCAAGACGCAAGCCGACATGGCCAAGCGCCGCAGCTCTTACTACGAGGAGGCTTTCCAGGGCGATAGGGAGTCCAATGTGATCAAGGACCGCGCCTATGCTGAGGCCATCGTAATGGCAGAGCTCCGCACCAACGTCATTGTATGTACTCTCCTCGTGTCACGAGTGGAGAACTTCAACTAATTCATTTTCCTAGATCAACGACGAGTTCAGTTTCATCACGGACTTCTCATACCAGCTGTCGGTTAGGTACCAGCGGCCAGTAACTTCGATCGTGGTCAACCTGCAGCATGGAGCTTGCATGCTCTTTGGAGGTACCTTTGAGCCGGCCTACACCATGTCGATTCACGCATTACCGCTCGAGGTCGGCGTAACCAAGAACAAGAGGAACACGGCTCTGCTTCAGAAGCACCTCCACGAAGCTCTCGGCGTTGCGCCCGTCCGTGGATTCGTCAAGTTCGTCGAAGTCCCTGCGGAGAACATGGCTGTTAATAGCAAGACTACCGCTTCTCACATTGCAGAGATGACCGGCGAGGAGGAAGAGACCATTGCCGAGCGCCGTGGTCGCAACCGCAAGAGTATCAGTGGCAAGGTACGTACTACGAAAATCATGGGTGAATACGAGAGACATTAACAGACTTGCAGTCCATGTCAGCTCTGCGCCACGGCTCCATTGTCGGAGGCAGGAAGGGCTCTGTCTTTGACTTTAGAAGAGAATCTGTTGCTCCTCGCAAAGATTCAGTTATGCCTCCTCCTCATGAGCTTACTCCTCCGCACAGCGCAACCGATGCGCCTCCCATCCCTCCCATCCCCGAGGCCCACGCCAACAAGACCACGGCCCCGGTTCCCGATGAGAAGTCGGATGCGCCTATCAAGGAAGTTGAGAAGGCACCTACCAACACTTCTGCATCTCTCAAGAAGTCCAAGGTGGCAAAGCGCAAGAGCAGCTTCGTCACTTCCCTGTTCTCTCGCTCTCCCAGGAACACGCCCGCGCCGATGCCCACCGTGGCATCGTAAATGGTGGCTCTACTTCCCTCGCCCAACTGAAGTCCCTCTTTCTCTTTGTTTTGTATTGTGCTCATTATCGGGTCTGGAGCAGTGGTCAAATTGGAAACTTGACGAGGTCAAGAAACAGAGCATTGCATCGATAAAAAGGGAGACGGAGTTCTGCATTACAGCCCGCTCGGGCATGCTGGAGTCATAGTCTTGGAATTCAACCATTTATAATCGTATCTGTTCTGTCTAATAGTAGGAGTTATGATTAGGAGATAGACTGATCTGTACTCGTCTCAATCAAGCTCGTACGTGCCAAAACTAGGCATTCACTAATTATATCACATTGATCATCAACCATCTTTTGGACCATGTTCTGCGCCTTCTAAGTGACGTTCAAGTAATTAGCCAATAGCACTTGAGACATCAAGTGCTATAACTTCTTCGATGACAGATTGTTTTGGAAATGCCTCCTTGGTCGACGTTATCCGATTCTACCGGGCTTCACGAAGCTCCGTTGTAAATCTGTGTGATGAACTTGGTCCCGGAAATCCCATTGGCAACCTGGTCGACTCATCAATTGAGGTGGGGGTGGTGAATGCAAGCAAATATGCCTTTTGCGATGAGATGAATGGGGTGACAGTACAGTCTGATTGAAGTAGGTAGGTACGTTAGTACCTTGGAACCTGCAAGGTGGGTCTCGCTTAAATTGCCAGCGCTGCCCGCTCAAACGCGCTCAGCACGGGGTTTTCATCAACTCAATGTTTACGTTATCTTATCGCTGCTCCTGCATCGTCATTTCTCCGCTACCACCTTACCACTTAGGTACGCAGTACGGATACCTTAGTAGTGTTTGATTGCCTCGCCCGCCCACCCGCCTTGCCCGCTCCACACATCTGATATGCAACCTGGAAACGGTCACGGCATACAGATACGCATCCGTTGATAGGCCAGAACCTCTCTAACATCCCGTACCCAAACGAAACAGGCTTCTTTACTCAGCTTCTCTACAACCACTGTCGGAGGGTCGGAAGGGGTTCTACCAAGCAAGAGAGCGGCACATATTTTCGCACCTGCCTGTGTCAGCGTCCATTTCGAGCAACGAAAGGGTCCTATCAGCGGCCGTCGCTGTGGAGTGAGGCGACCCAACGACTGAGGCTCGACAACGATTGACCTGCTCAACGGCGCAAAGCAGGCTCGTCTCGTGAACTAAACGGCAGGACCTGGAGGAAATAGTTTGGGGAGTCTTGGTGGAAAATGGAAGTGAGTCCTTACAGTTTCTTAGTGTCGTGGTCTTCATGTCCTACCCAAGCTACTGCGGCTCTTTTTGCCCTGCCTTTTCATACACCATTTACGCTCCCCCGGTGAGGCTTCGACATACCAGTCCCGAATACAAGATGAATCAACCATATGACTATCCGGGATATGCCTACTGAGGGTTGACTCTTGGTTCGAACGCTCCATAGCAGACCCAAGCTCGTTTGAGGAGACAGATTCACTTCTTACAAGGAAGTTCTGAGCGACTCGAGCATTGTCAGCATACGCAACGCGTCGGCCTTCTGCGTCACCTCAATGGTCATGCCAGGGAGGTCATCGGACAACAGGAGAGCCAGCATGGGTCGTCCGCGGGAACGGGGAGTCAGGTCGCTGTCCCTCGTCAGATCAAGCGGGAAGGGCTGGGCCACGGTGTCATGGATGATGTGGTGTCTGTACGACAGTGAGATCAGCATCGAGTCAAAGCTAGTTCAACGCTCTTGGGCATCGACGTATGATTCTTCTCGAAAGGAGACCGCATGAACGCCAACTTTTTCTCAACTTTCCGCCCCTGCTTTCCAGCCACGTTTTCTGTTACGAAGATGCGCCAGACCTCGAGCCGGCAGATCTCTCCTGCGTGTGTCCGTCGATGGCGGTCGTATTCTTTCGACGTGTCTGAGAAAAACAAGCTTTTCAGATTGGGACATCTTGGAGAAGTCGCGAGCGAGTTGATGCGAGGGTTTGGTGGCAGGTCAGCCAGGGAAGCGGGAGCTCCCAGGGCCTCGCTGGCAAAAGTTTTGTTTGAGAGACTCGCCTCGATTCCCGTCACGGATCGTTGCCAGGCTTGAGATCCGGTCGACCTCATCAAAGAATCCGCACAAACATCGAGTGTCCCCTGGGTCTGTGGCATCCATCTTCCCGAGACAGCAAGAAACAAAGAAGGGCAAGCAGTCTACGGCATTGCAACCAGCCCGGCGAGACTATAGCTCGCTCACGCTCAAGCCCTCGTGACCTGTCTGCATACACGAGTTACGCATCGAAGAAAGCTGGTTGCCTTTCAACACGATCCCCCCCCCCCCTTGCGAAATGAACAAATCGCCCCGTTCTATAGATTCCATGCTGTCCCAAGCGGTAGATGGTTTAGGTGTTTCTTCTTACGGGGGTTCTTTGCGATCAAACGGCCGTTTAAGTCCAGCTAGGCTAACACTCCAGCGTGTCTACGATCAGAGTCAAGGAGTGCAGCCGCAGGATGCGAGCAAGATGGTAGAAATGCCTCCGGGCCCCCCTGCAAAGGGCAAGCCCAGACTCCTTTTGATGGGTCAGAGAAGGTATGTCATCCCTCCATGCCGGTGCTTCATATGGATTACATACCAACTACAATGGCAGGAGCGGCAAGTCATCAATATCGAGCGTCGTCTTTCATAAGCTCCCGCCAAATGAGACGCTTTTCCTGGAGTCGACAGCTCGTATTCAAAAGGACTCCATGGCGTAAGGCCTCAAACCAAGCCAATGTGACGAGCAACCTGTCTCACTGACTATCTTCTTCAGATCCTTCATGGACTACCAGGTCTGGGATTTCCCTGGCCAGATTGACTTCTTTGAGAACCCAAACTTTGATATGGACGCCATCTTTGGCGAGATTGGCGCCCTCATCTGGGTGATTGATGCGCAGGACGACTATCTCGAAGCCGTAGCCCGTCTCAACGCCACGGTCCTAAACCTCCAGCGCTTCTACCCGAACATCAATATCGAGGTCTTTATCCACAAGGTCGATGGTCTCTCGGACGACTACAAGCTCGACATTCAGCGCGACATCACCATCCGCATCCAGGACGAGCTCTCGGACCACGGCTTCGAAAACGCCCCCGTCACATTCCACCTCACGTCCATCTATAATCACTCCATCTTTGAGGCCTTTTCCAAGGTCATCCAAAAGCTCATTCCCCAGCTCGGCACTCTCGAGGCCATGCTCACCAATCTGTGCCGAACCTGCCGCTTCGAAAAGGCCTACCTCTTTGACGTGCTCTCCAAGATTTACATCGCCACCGACTCCGCCACGGCCGACATGGCCTCGTACGAGATCTGCTCCGACTACATTGACGTCATCATCGACATCACCGAGGTCTACGGCTCCTGGCCGCGGTCCGACGGCCAGCGCAAGCGTCTCGAGGCCGAGCCCTGGAACGCCAAAGTCGAGGACCAGGTCGCGTGCAACTGGGCCGAGAGCTGCATGGTCCTGCACGACTCGCAGCGGCCTATCATGCTGCGCGAGGTCGATCGGTACCTGGCTCTCGTGGCGATTATGAAGGAGGACTCGTATGACCGCATGCCGCTCGTCAATATGAATGTGGAGGCTGTCGTGCAGGGCGTCACCGAGTTTTTTGAGATTACAAAGTCGAGAAAGTGAGACTGGTCTGGAGGGCGTGTGTAGTCTATTGGGATTGAGGATGTGTTAGCCACATGCGGCTGTGGTATAGCCATGAGGCTTAGATATATATACATATTTCTCCTTGACACAACTTTTATGCCTCTTGGCTAGAACCTCATGTGACTAATCGATTCAAGTGAGAGTCTTTGGAGCTGGAACTCCTACGTAGAACAGGTTAGTGGGAAAAATGAACAGAGGAGAGAGAGAGAGAAGGTCTTACATTAAGTATCTCGCCAACCCGATATTGCACGTCCAAGAAGATTGAGTCTGGTAGATCGGGAATTCCAGAGTCTGCAGAAGTGAATCCTACTACTTTGGGGTAGTTTTTGAATAGGCCGATGGCGGGATTCCACGCGCAAAACCAGCGAATGTTGTATTCCGTAGTCTCTAAGGGTTTAGTTGCGATCCAACACTTTTGACAAAGACGATGACAACTCACCGAACCATATTGCTGCTTGAACCCGAAATCAAAATACCCGAAATCGCCATGGACCTCTGAATTCGTCATAAACGCGTTGCCAGTCTGACTGATGGTGTCGGGTCCGATCTTCCCTTTAAGTTCCGGGAAGTATCTCCACAATGCCCACCAAGTCTTTGCATTCGCGCGAGCCTTTAGATTCTGTTAGTAATATCCCATAAACTGCTGGATGGCGGCAATGCCTATCTGACTCTATCTTGCTCATATACGCCCGTGGATACTTTCAAAAAAGAGCAGATATCGGAGGAAGACTAGAGACGGATATACTGACGCCTCTAGCAGTTGATAGGATAGCAAGGGGACTTTTCTATTAAGATCAAACGATCTCACTCACCTCCACCGCCGTCCGCTCGTTAGAATCCCCAATCAGGAAGGGGATGATATGGACGCATTCTAGGGTGCTCATACGTCCCTGAGGCATCATCTGGCCAGAGTAATTCTTCTCCGACCAGCCCTTGTCAAAATACTTCGTGACGACACATTGGCCGCCATCCCGGAGGAGGCAGTCCCGCCTCAACTTTGAATCACAGACATATGACTCGAGCTGCTCGAGAAGTGAACCTGGGCCGTCTGCCCCGGAACTCGAAGACACGATGTCGTCTTCCGTTCTGCGCTGTGAATGAGTTTTGACTTGGTAGTTGTAGCCAAGCGTTAGCTTCGATTCATGGCGGGGATAGAGTATATAACCTACGAGGTATCAAGATAGCCTGGACCAAAAAGTCACGTAGCTGCCTCAGCTTGACTGGAGTGTCTCTGTAACGCATAATCTCCGAGAGCAGAACCAATTGTCCGCTGAGTGGGAGTTTGTCCGCGAAAAGACGAAGTATTTGGGTAGTGTCGTCCTGTGTCCCGAGGGGGGTGTAATTCGCGAGCATCTCTAAGACTTCGTAATGTTTCTTGGCCCAATGTTCAGAGTCTGATGATGCTAATGTCAGCTGGCTGTCAATGACGGAGCTGGCGTCTCCATTTCCGTCTGGGTGGTTGGCAATCTCGTCCATGTCGTGGTTGGGTCCGTATTCGAATATGAATACTGTCTTGAGAAGAGGAACTTATCGGCCGTCGTGATCGTTAGGTTTTGGTAAATCTGTACGGTGTGTGCCAACTGTGGGACACATCCAAGGCTATTTTAGCGAGTTCGAGCGACGCAAGACAAACGCTGAGTGAGGCGCAGACATCAGAGATTCGTCACCAACTCTATGACAAGCAAGGACTTCGGGAGTGGTATGAAGACGTTATCGAGTTCCTTCCGGAGGGACCACAGGCAATAGACCACCTGTCCAGATACAAGAAGCGCTTGTTGAGGGCCAAGACAACGCGATATCGAATTCGGGAGTACGAGCTGCAGAGGAACGAAACAGACGGCACACCTGTGAACCGAGACTGACAAATGTCTCCGAAGAAGGCTTCTGTCATCAAATATGGTGGGCATAGACTTCATGGGAGAGATCACTCCTACGGCAGTGGGACGGATTCAAAGACAGGTCTCACTACGTACTGAAAATAACTCTTCAAATAGGAAAATTTTATAACCTTGATTATTTGATGTTTATCTCCGTAAAATTGGTCCAGCACCCGGCTAGGTAACTTATGTGCCTTTCTGGAGTACCGGAAAGTACCTTCTGGTCCAGTAGAAGAACAAGGTTTATTTTATTCCCAGGACTTTGACAGACCGTGGCTGAACTTGCCGCCTTTGCAAAACTTAATGGTAGCTAGACCGAGTAGCCTGTTCCACGCTGTCAGGGCACCTTGTTATCGAGGACATCCAAGCGATTTTCGTGTAGAGTCACAAGTACGAGAATGCAGTTTGAAAAAAACAGTGTGGCGCCCACCCAGCAGTTCCGTGCTTGCCAAAGTTGATGTAGAAAAAGGAGGGCTCGTGCAATGCTTTCTTCAGTCAAATATTCTCATTCACTCATTCACCTACCCCAAGTCATGAAGCTAAAGTAATTTTCTCTCCATACCACTCTAATAAGCCTACTCTCGATGAAAGAGCTCATCTAGCCTGGCTGCCTCTAGCCTCCGCGTGCCCAGCACAGCCATGCGTTTCTTGCTGCGCGGCGTAAAACGCTTTGGCGGCACCCTGAACATGTTACCCGGCGATAGGGGCACGGGCAACTTCTAGTCGCCGCGTGCGGCTGCCGCTGCCGTTGCCGTAGCCGGTTTTCGCGGAGCGTCCTTGTCGTCATGGCCGGACGCGAGGCTGAAGACCCTGTAGACCGAGCGGTTGGCGCCGAGGAGGCACACGCGTGCCGGGACTTCGCCGCGGGCGTTCGTGACATTCTGTACGTCCATCCGTATCGGCGTGAAGGACTGGTCTTCGGGGAGTGTGGTCGTGACGAGCCCTGTCTGAATTTGTTTGGTCAAGGGTGTAGAGACTGGTAAGTCGTTCTCTTGGTAGGGAACATAGTTGATGGCGGGAGACTGTATAGGTACCATGATGACATTGGCGGGGCTTCCTAGAGAGAGATTTAGTAGAAGCCTTACTGATGAGCTAAAAGATATGCAGGTCTTGGTGTACCTTGTATGTTCACGAGCAGAACTAACGTAGTGCTGTCCATGAACTTGACCTCAGCGATCTTGCCATTGTCTACAGATAGAGCAGCAACCGTCGTGGCAACGCTGCTGCTGATGCCGTTGATGATGCGGATAGATGTTCGGAATATGAAGACTATCAAGCTGTTAGTATGAGACTCGGCTTGCTCTCGCGAGAAAGTACTGACACTCTTGGTCCCGGCCCTCTCCAGTCAGGGCGGTAAAGGTGAGGCCATAAACTTCGTCCTGCAAAAATGTCAGTTATACGTGTCAACAGTTGAGAGATTTCAAGACTTACGTCTTGTCGTTCCGAGCACATGGTAGAGTCAATTTTTGCAATTTTCTGGCCCAATCCGATCTTTGTCGGCTGACCAAATCGAACGCTCCTTTTTTGTGCTTCGGCAATATCCTTGAAGACTCCATTTACGCGGGCAGTAAGGTAGTCGACGAGGAAGCCAACGTTCGGGAAGGCCTTCAAATATTCTTGTCCCTCTTCCTGGCGTTTGAGTTGGGTATCTAGCTCTTCGAGCATTGACTTTCCGCTTTCAGCTCGTTCCCAGTTCGCCGAGTAATCGTCTGTGGCTACTTCGTCCAAAAATATGGCCATGGGGCTCTCGACAAGGTAGCGCTGCACGTAGACAAGGACCTTGCTGTTCTCCATTGTAGCCTCCTTCTCTGTCAGTTCTTCGCTCGCCGAGTTTGGGGCCGCAAAACGGTCAATCTGGAACCGCATCCATGTAGAGAAGGCATGGAAGAGGTCCAGTTCGTCCATGACGTTCAGGAGAATCTTGTGTCCGACCATTGTGAGGCAAGATACGATATCCATTGCGCGAGTGATCTGGGCCACAGAGAAGCCAATGTCGTCGCGTGAGTCGTAAAACTGAGCAAGTCCACGCAGGCGGCTGAGGATGATGGCACATCTTTCCAACGACGGGAGTAAATTTTCATGGATCAAACCACGCAGGTTCTCCAGTCCTGCCGTCACAGCCTTATCCCATCGTTTGTGGCCCTTGAGATGTTGTCAGAAATGAATCACATAGCGAGAAAAGCGTCTACTTACGCGCTCAGCTAAACTGTCGACCAACCATTCTCGGAGGGGCTCATGCGCATGGCCAGTGACAACCGTATGGAAAAGAGCTTGAACAATGTTCGTCGGCCCATGTGCTATCTGTTCCAGGTCTCCCTCAACACTACGCAAGAACTTGGACGGTAGTTCTCTTGTGTTCTTATACTCTACTTGCATGTGGAGCTGTGTCTGCTTCACATAACGCAGCAGCTTCTGTAACGTAGTGAGTTTTGACGCCAGGAGAGAGATGTTGATGGGGGATGAGGGTATAAAGGGCAGATCCATGGGAACCAAGTATACTGCCTGGTCGTTGTCGGCTGAGGATTTCAGGAGGAGAGTGTGAGTGGAAACTTCTGGATGAGAGGCATGTTGAATGAGCTGGAGAACGCCTGGTCTGTACATGGAACTTGGAAGCGTGTATCGGAAGTCACCGATGATGAAGGAATCATAGATGCTGAGATGGAGGCGCCCATCGCTTGTGCCTACCACCATGACGAAGACTTGGTCACTATCTTCTGTGTTGAAGGGCTGGAACAGGAAGTCTATGCCAGTTCTCAAGGTGAACACCAGGCCATCTTCGCTAAAGCCACAGTCAGTAACAACATCTGAACCATGGCAGACTTCACTTACCCTGCACCAGCGCTGGAACTAGGTAGAGGACTGATATTTGGCAAGGCAGAGTCTACCTCCAAGAAGGTGAGTTCTCGGGGTAGATCCAACGGGGCCGGGCTGCCGGGCAAATTCAGCTCCTCTGACATGAGTTTTTGCCATGGCTGCGCAGGCGACTGCCGGGCCATCTTCTGCGGCCTGCCCACAATGTTGCGCGACCAACCGATGTGAGTGATGTTTGGCGTCGCTGTGTCGTCTCCACAGACGCGAATGTGATGTGCAGCCTTGTTGTTCTCCAGGCCCATCAACCTCACGTATCCGTCGCTCCAGCCAACAGCAAGGAACTGCCCTGTGATCAAATTAAAAAACAAGTTCTATAGATGTATTGAGTGCATCTTCGTACCATCTGGTTTCCATCTTACAGCTTGGGGCTCGGGAGCCTGTTGACCGGGCTTCGCGAACTGATGGATTTTGGACACAACGTGTTCCCTTGGGCGGTAGATCAAGAGATTTTTCCCGTGTGCGTCCCAACTGACCGAGAGGTCAACCGTTGGGTTACTGCATGGAAAGCCTTCGGCGACGCGGTGGTCGAATTTGGTATCGCTGTAGTGCCGTAGCTGCATGGCTTCATCCATTTCGGATATACGAAGCTATCCGGATTGACAGGGGAGTGGTGACGCCTCGAAGGACCATTGCTAGTCCCGTAGGACGATTTGCTGACAGAAATTACCAGATGTTTGGTTATTGAATTTCAGGAAATCGAGCTGTGCAGTCCGTAGTTCAATTAGGTATCGGCGAATCTGCTTCGCGCAAATAGCCGTTGTTGTTTGGAAGGTTCACTCACGACTTTTACAAATGTAGAAGTGAGTTGAGGTACATCAAGCAGGTACTCCGTACCTTACCTCTCAATCCAATGTCCGTTCTGTGGGAACTGCACCCAAGGTTGTACCTGCCACTGACAAGGATGAGTTAGCGCCCCGCGCAACACTGTGACTGCAAGACGTGGTGGATCAGCACCTTGATCGAAATGGAACACTTTCTTTTCAGTGCAGCAGTCAATTCCAGGGCAAAGATGATGTTAGTCGACAAGGTAAATAACTTCTTTTACTCGAGGCTTTCGCATCCCCTAGACTCTCTAAGATACGTTTCATTTCATGCAGCCAAATATCATGGCCGTTTCCCAGCACCGCAAGTCAACCCGCTGTTTGGAAAACTCATCAGTTGGCGCCGAGCTTTTGCTACCCCTGACTATCCCGCTCCAATCTCAATCTAAAAGTACCTGCATTCTATTCGATTAAGAAGTTGTCTGCGTGAGACTTGATCTCCTTCGAGAAGGTAACCTCCTCGTCCTCTTCAATCAAAGAGACAGTGGTAACCTAGTATGTGCATTAGCTTTCTGGGACATCAAACTGCCAGAGTCGTGACTTACATCAACATCGATGAAGGGCGAGGTCTTTGAGAACCTGACTGTCATTGGGAAGAAGTCGTTCTCGTCATTGGTCTCGGCCTCGAACTCGAAAGAACCGCTAGGGTTATCGTCCGAAACCGTGCCAATGTTCCACTCCAGCGAGTCGCCAGAAACCTCATACGAGGCATCAAAGCTCGATACCACAGGTTCACTGGCCTGGTAAGGGATGATCACGCTAACGTCCTTCAACGTGTCCCCGCCCGTCAGCTCGTACTCGACGGTTATGTTGTACTTGTCTGCATCCTTGTTGATCCAAACAGTGAATGTAATGGGGCAAGCGCTAGTATCGTCTGCCTTGGCCGTTGCTCTCCAACGCAGGACACCAACGGACTGGTTGATAGGGAAGCCACGCGCGGTGTTGCTCATCTGGATGGTCTTGGAGCTGTTGAAGAGGTTCTTGTCGACGTTGGGGTGCGTGCGGAACTGAGCACCGTGGGAGGCATTGGCAGTCAGGTTCAGCTTGACCTTTGTCAAGCTTGGGTCCGAGATACGAAGGTTCAGGTCACCGCTTATCGCAAGGGAGTTTAGGGCGCCCTCTCTCGACAGCTTAGCACTAATAGCTTCGTTGACCACGATGTGAATGGCGTCCCGGTCAAGAGTAGAGGAAACACGAGACTCTGCTGCAGGCTCGGGAACGTGAGCCGGGGTTGGCGTAACAAGCGGGGTATCATCGACTTCGGCTCCCATTTCGCCTCGAACGCGCTCGAACATGTCGGTGGTCTTCGACTTCTTGCCGAGTTGCATACCCTTGCCCTTCGGGGCACTCAGCCTGTAGATGTTAGCCAGTAGCCTCCGCCACGCATATCCAAGGGTCGCTTACTTGTTGAAGGTCTTGTTCTTCTCAGCTTCGTACGAGTCGTACGTATCCGTCGGGGTCGGGCGCGTAGGTGGGGTGTAAGTCGGGTAGTTGGGTGTTCTGGGCATTCCACCACCGACACGGCCAGCTCGAGCCGACTCTTTCCGCTGCATCTCCAGCTGCTTGGCCTTCCGCTTGCGCTCCTCTGTCGCCTCCAGCTCCTTGTTCTATTCTCACGATCAGTATCATGTATCTCAACATGCTGGGTATCGGCTAGACGGACTCGTGCGATGATCTCCTGGATCCGCTCCTCGTGACTCTCCATCTCGAGGAAGGTCTTGATCTGGCTGATGGTCAAGTTCTCGCGGTATCCCAGCGTTACCAGCTCATCGAAGGCGCTGAGAAGTTCGTATGCATTCTTCAGAATCTCTCTCTCGTCGAGGCTCTTGCATGTGCTGGTCACAACCTGAGCGAACAGGTGCAAGGAATCGATGTCTTGGAGAATGTTGGATTGGCGGTTGGTAATGAGTACCATGTAAAGCTCGTCCAGGGGCTGATAGACAAAGCGCACATTGTCTTGTTCAACGGTCGTGTGTTGGGTACCGCTGTCGGCGAGCTTCGGGAAGGACGCGAGGAGGGCTTCAATGCGGGATCGTGGCATCTCCCTGAATTGGCGGGAGAGGACAGCTTTCCCGCCGCGGGTGCAAATCGAAGCTGCGAGGACGACCTGAAGGTGTAAGCATGTCGATACGGAAAGTGCAGCAGCCGAAAGATTCCTCTTACCATTTTGACGGAGTATGATGAGAGGTATAGGACGAATTGGAGATGTAGGTGGACTGTCGCAACTCGACTTCAAGGTCCACGCCAAAGGAGGGACCACACTGGGAGCTTGAATATTGAGGTCGGAATTGTGAATCTGGCCAGTGCACTGACCATGCTACCTTACGTACAGCAGCTGGGGCTAGTCCAAAAGTGGTAAAGCGGCAGCTGCCTCCAGAAGGCGCGTCAACCTGCGCTTACGGCACGTAGAGGGGCTGCACCTGGGACCTTTTTTTAAATTCCCACGCGCTTTGGTCAACTCCACCTCATCCGCACTGCTTGGCCTCAACTCGCCATATCCATACTCTTTGTTACCAAAGCTTCCTTTCCTCCCTCAGTCCATACCTACGAAGACACCTTGAAACGATAGCGTACCGGAGACTCAGATCTCTAGGCATACGAATCACTACCGACGTGACATTCAACCGATACCTGACTATTGAGCTTTTGTCAGCGCCATCGAGCGGACATCCGAATCCTTACAGCCCGAACCTGCCAGACAAAGAGACAAGCGTCCCGACAGAGGCAACGAAATACCTACCGCGAACCCGAACATCGCTCTACAACTTCCCAGTTGTAGCAGGGATGACTACTGAAGCAGCCCCAGCCCTGGGCCTCGAGGGCCAACTCCACGAGGAGTATATCGACTACTCGGAGGACGATTCGGCAGCTCCTGCTGTCGTCGTAGAAGGCTCTAACATCACCTCATTTCCTGCCAACGCCCATCCTGTCACCGATGAAGTGGAGTACACTGGAACGAGCGCATTAGAGCCAGACAACCAGACCATCGGCCAACAGGTCGATGCGGAGATCGATGCTATTTCTATCGCCGCCGATGCCTCACTACAGCCAGGCGACCTAGACCCCACTAATGAGCTTCAAGTGGATGGCGTTGATTCTATTAGCGCGATAGAAGCTGAAGACTCTTACGTGAACGAAGATGAATCTCTTGCCTACGCCGATGTTGCCGAGCCTGAAGATGGGTTGGCCGCCGAGAATGAGATTAGTTGGGAAGACGGCCCGGCAAACGAGGAAGACGCAGCTCAGAACGAGGAAAATGAGCACGAAGACAACGAGGTCGAGGACGGTCAAGACGAAAACAGCCAGGATGAGAGCCACATCACTCTTGAGAAAGATGAATGGCAACTAGTGAAAGAGAAGGAAGGCCTGCCACGAGGCGGCTTGAGCCCTGCGAACAGTGCTGAGGAACAAGAAACGGAAGCCCACGAAGTCGATCAAGAGCTTGCGGACTCTTCAAACGATGCAAACAACTTGGACGCAAATCTTGACGTATTTGACGTGGCCGATGTTGATGCTGGCGTAGATGAACAACAAGTTGCTGAAGCCGACAATACGGAAGTCAATGACCTGCACGAGATAGACTTCAACGACGGCGGCAACATAGCAACAGTCGATGCTACAGTGGGTACCAGTGATACGCGTTCAGAGCATACTCCAGAATACCAAAAGATCGATGGCGATTTCCCGACGAAACAGGATGCTGAAGATCATCCCATGGGCGTAGATACGGAATCGCAGCCCGAGGATGAGCTTGAGAGCATCATGGGCGTTGCCGACGCTGACCAGGCCAATGATGAGGAGAATCATGATGATGTCGTCAACGCCGACGACTATGACGCAGTTGCTGAAGACTTGTCTGTTCCCGAGCACGTGGAATTCGATGACGAAGTTCTTGCCGACGTGCGATCGTCCGTATCGGCTGAGACGCCGACTCACGAAGAGATGGAAATCCCCGTTATCACTGTCTCGTACAAGGGCATCGACTATCCATTCTTCTATGGGTCCCCAGACAGCCAAGGCAAGGAGTGTTTCTTCAATGATCTGACTCTATTGCACTGCAAAATGGAGGGTGTATTGGCAGGCTTCCGTCGAGAGCTTGCCAATGAGTTGGGCCCTTTTGACGAACTTGTGTTCCAAATCGACGAGCTTGGCCTTGAGTTCACTGAAGTACGTTCTCATCCGCCTGAAACACAAGCTCTGCTAACATATCCAAAGTCCAGCCAAGCAGAAGTCTTCTCGGACATCACGTTGGGCCAGATAATTTCCGTGTTTGACTCACTGGTCAAAAACCAGAATGCCGATGCATCCAAGCCCCTCTACGCCTACTTGACAACGCGGCCGAACTGCAAGAAGCGCTGGCTTTCGCTCGTTGACGATGCCTACAATGGCAAAGGACTCGATGAAATTAGCTACTATTTCGCATCTCGCGCACAGAGCGAGGTACTCGAGATCATGGATGATGAGCCTGACCTGATAGGGGAAGAAGATAACGCCGATGCTGCCTCTTGGCCGCAGTCTCCCGCCGTGAGTGGACATGGTGAGCACAATTTGGACGAGGCTGAAGGCGAAAATGAGGAGATCAACGAAGATGACGATGTCGGCGATGGCATTACCGGAGAAGACGATATCCAGTCGCAAAACGCACTTGAGGAGAACCCCTTGCAGCAAGACGAGAGCGCTATCTCGATGCCGGATGCTGAGGCTACCATGCTTGATACCGAAGCTTCTCTGATGGACGAAACCACCGCAGTTGCAGACCTGAGCGTTGTTGAAGACAGCGGTGACGTGGAAGATGCAACGGAGGATCAGCAGCCCCAAGAGAATGGGGAGGCAGGTAAAGACGACCTTTCTCAAGTCACTCAATGCTTCTTCCCTAATTTCTGTCTCTGCGCCACTTGCACTTCGACCTTTGTCGCAGACCAAATGGCGGAGGAAGACGACTTTCGATTCGAGACCTTGGTGCGAGTGGCCAAGGAGTCTGCTCGACAGCGAGGGCGCTCTCTCTCTAGCAATTCGCATTTGGCGCTTCCCAAGAGACTCCTCTCGCGAAGAACGTCCCGCCATTTGCATTCTTGTTCAGATTCCAGCATTACATTTTCTTCGACTGCAGACGCTGACGCTAGAACCCAAGCTCCAGAGATTGATGAATCTAACCCACTCGCCTCGGAAATGCAAGACGCAGCTGTTCTCGGCACTGCTATTGACGCACAGAACACGTTTGACGACGAAGAAGCAGCAATCATCGCAGACGAGATCGTCGAAAACGCCAATGAGAGCTTCGCAGAAAAGGTAACCCCCGATACCAGTGCCACGTCTACCTTGAACGGCGACGAAGAGGTCACCTACGAGAACGAGCTTGATCTCAACGCCGACCTACCTGAAGCCGAGGTTGTTGAAGCCGAGGTTGTCGACGAAGATGATGGGCTAGCGGAGATTGACTGGAGAGAATTCTCCGGGCAAGGGGATGACGAGATTGCCGTAGAGTCCCCTTCAGCTTCTGGCAAACGCCAGAGGTCGGATGTGGACGACCTGCTGGATGCTGAAGCTCAACAAGGTACGCTCAAGAGGCTCAAAAGACTCGGAACATGATGAGCTAACTTAGTGCTAGACGTCAAGCGTCGTCGCCCATGAGCTTTGGGTAACATCCCAACTAACCCCCCTTTGGTGTGTCACTCAACGCGACCGGATCTAGGTCCACGGGGCTTCCTCTTCCCGCCGTAGACCAGTCCGGCGACTAGGCCACAAAACAGCCTGGTTCCATGATCACCAACATTTAAAAAACATGGATGATACACCCGGCAAGTAGGGCATCGCAATCGGAGCGACCATATAGCCCTCGAGGTAGGTTTCCAAAATTGTTATTCCCACTGACATACAGCTTTTCCAATTTCCAACCATCCCCAGGCGGTGACCTGGCAATTCCATGAACGACATACCCTTAATGCCGTCCTTCCCCGGAGCTTTCGATACCCCCTCTGTTCTTTTGCGATATTGGTGGATTCTGGCGTAGAATGGGTCTCAAAAGCAATGCGATCATCTTCGTGGTTATGGTCGATCTTTCTTGTACAATAAGACGTCTCAAGGATTTGAGGGGTGGTCATGGATGTGGTCACCAAGAACGGCCCGCTCAACAAGGTGAAGTGTACGTCTGTCTTTTTTCGAGAAAGAGTTGGACGAGATCAACATCTGCATCCGTTGGGATATCTACTTGATGATCAGTCACTTTGGGGCTCTGGCTCGAAGAAGAATATTTCAGGGCATCGAGCTGAGGCGTTGATTTTCTCGAACAGAGCAACCGGAATAGTTATACCTGAGTTATCTGACGAAGAATACGCATATTCTACTTGCCTTGATGAGGGGCTTTGCGTGTCATTGTCTAAACAAGCGGCTACACTCGCACCTGAGCTTCATTCTCCTTAAATGTCATCACAGTCACAGTCTGGCCGTTAAGCCATGTCAATACTGAACTGGTCCTTTTGCGCGAACGCTTCTTGTTCGTCTTATAGTGCGCCTCCATGGTTTCTCGAAGCTGTTCTAGGGCTCCCTAGTAGACGTCCAGGAGCCATGACAGCATGAAGATTGGCACGGGGATATAAGCAGTCAGCCCCCCACACCCCTTGCAAAGGCAGAGCTCCAGCGTTTTCTGCAGGTGATTGAGAGCTAGCAGTCACTGGGGAGGGAAAGTATATCACGGTTTTGGGTGAATTAGCTGGTAAGATTAAGGTCTGCCAGTGATGGAGTTTTTCTGGCCTTGTTAGAACTCTGTGTGTGGTAGTATGGGCACACACATAGTCGCACCGTCACAGACGCTAATAGCTAGGTATCCGTACTCAAACTACATATATTAAAAACGTTGCAGACGTGTTGATCAGGTACGGAGAGTGATAGAGTTCCCCTTGAGTAGTTTGCTGCCGTTGGAAACTTGGACGGCAAACCCCCTGGAACGGTGACAAGACGTGGGAATCCCTGCTATTGTTCTGTCCGATTTTTTTGCGACATACGCTCGTTCGTTTTCTTCTTCGTGTCTCGCTTCTCCAATTCCTAAGAGGACAGATAGTGGTAGACTTACGGGTAGGTCGCCTCCGTAACCGAACTTTTTGGGTGGTGGGCTTCGTTTCGACGACCGTTCGCGCTTAATGCGCTACCTCTACCGTGGTTGCCACTTTGCTTGAGCCCCCCTCTCTACTCCACCTGGTCTTCCCTCCTTCCAGGGCCGTTAATTGAAATGTATGGGTTGCGGCAGCGGAGGAAACGAGCTGTCAGTGACAGACGCATTTCTCTTGCTTGATTGTTTCTAACGGCTCGGATGGGGGATCCGGGGGACGACGTGAGGGCTAGCTTGAGATATTGACAGGGGAGCGAACGGTCTCGCATTTCGAGTTAAGTGAATGGTACTCCGTATCATGGCTACCGTTTATCACTTGTATTGAGCCCAATCCGCATTACCTAGGCACCTAGGGCCGACGGTCCCATGTGAAAGGCAAAAGGCGTTGGTCACGAGTTACGGCATGGGAATCGCGCCTTTCATTCCTCTTGTCGTGGGCACTCTTACCTAAGATATGGTAAGGGAAATCAAGGGTCTGACACGACGAAAGGGCTTGGAAGGGCTTGGGATGTATGGAGGGGGAAGGGGGCAGACGGGCAGAGTCTCCAGTCATCTGCTTGATGGCTGACTGATCAGTGGTACCTGAGTCTCTCTATCTCACTGTCTTTCAGGTGGATAAGAAAAGACAGAGATAGAGACAGAGAAACGGCAGACCGTCGCCGGCTTCGGGCCCTATCGGCAAAGCGGACTCGAGATATTCCCGTCCGCTGGGTGACAGACTGGCAAGATGGGCAGTGACGAGTGACGACGACGGCTTCCGCATTAAGGATGCGCGGTAAGGATGGCCAAAGAGTGAGATGGTGGCTGTGGCTGTTGGTTTAATTAACGAAGGCCAGTTTTGGTGGTCGTGTCGAGACCCGTGGGTGCCATTGTGGGTTCGGAGGGGGACCTGGGAGACAGCGGACGGTGGTGCCCAGTCCAGGGGAGGAGGGAAGCAGCAGTCACCAGTCACAGTGTCATTCGTAATGAACCTGTTTCAATGGGACCCCACATGGGTTGTGAGAGAAAAATAGAAATGCCGATTTCTCTCGTGGATCGGATCTTCGTATGGAGATTTGCAGGGGTGGAGGAGAAAGCACTGACTTGTTGTGTACGGATAGTGTCGACTGATGGCCGAGAGGACCAAGCCTCCTATCATTTTTCGTATAGGCCCTGCTGTTCACAGGGAAGAAGGGTGATATTTCTTTGCTGTGTATACGTACATAACACTGAAGACATTATGCCAGTGGGTGTTCATTGAAGGTTGAGCGAGAGTCTCCTGTAGGCTGTACTCTGCTGACTGCAGTCCGTTTCGTTCAGGGGTTCATGGGCTCAGCGTGGATCGAGGACGAGACTAACCAAGGAACCGCCCCTCAAGACTGACACTCCAGGAGGAGAAGGTCTGGAGACTTGGGGAGACTTTGGGGGGAGTCGTGGGAGTTTGCTGCCAACCACGGCCCCCTGCGGATAGAGGTGGTGTCCTCCTTTGGCGCCCTTAACACCCCTGTCGGAGTTGAGTCGAGTTGCGTTAGCACAGGTAGTAGTTTCCAGTTATGACTTGTGAGCCCCTGCTTGCTGGCTCTGCGATGACCTCAGTGATGGAGGATAAGAGTTAGTATGCTAGGCAGGGTGAAGGCATCGCGAGATGCTTTGATAATTAGCATAGTGAGAAGACGGTGAGATATGTTGGATGCATGGATAGACATGGGTAGATGAAGGAGAAGAACAAGAGAGTTTGAACACACAAGAAGAAAACGGTACGGACGAAGAAGCAACGAAGTCTTGGCGTCCCTGCCAGGAAATCGCCTTCCGTCCAAAATCGCATGCGAAGCCTGTTCCATCCTCACTGAATTCCGTCCGACATCCGTCCAAGGCTTCTGGTCGCACTGCTGGTATGCCCAAGGTGTATAAGATTCGAGTATTGGCCACTGCCCTGAATCGTTGCATGTTGTATCAGTCCAAGGCATGTTTGTACAACATCGTGGTCTGCTAATGAGGACTGGACCAAACCAAGTCGGGCCAAACCCACCAGGCTGAGCGTTTGGTCATGACAGAAAAATTCGGCGCTCCCCCGTGCCTCTAAGGCGTGCCCACTGCAAGGTCCAAAATGGACAGCTTGGCCTGGCCCTTTCCTCTACGAAGTAGCGGCAGTAGCCCCCCGTCCGGTCGGCCTCAGCCCCTCGACCCTCTCCCCCGTCCGGTCGACGAGCAGCCCACATGTAGGTAGTGTGGTAAGTACCTGTTCAGTCAGGTATCCATAGCTAAGGTACCTTGCTCAACCCCACCCGCGCTCAACAAGTCTGGCGTCCGCGGCCAAGTTCGTTCCCGTTCTTTCGCGCAGGCCCGTCTGGTATTTTTAGGGACAAAGTCACCTTTTTGGGTCTGTATTTCCACAGGTACCTCTCAATGGTAGCGCTAGGTAACTATTCGCCTAGGTAGGTAGCTATGATTCGAGCACCACGACGACCCCAGCTGAATAGCACAAGGAAAAAAGAAGAAGAGAAAGTGCGCTATCGTCAAGAACGCGTATGCTCTAATCTGCCAACCCAGGTTTGCCCAACAGGAGATACCTGGGTCACCTAAGGTAATGGACAAAAGTGATTGGGGGCATAGCAATACCAAACACCTCTGTCTGTATGGATCAGATACCTAGGTGACCTGTCCTGCTTCACATTTCGCTGCAGGGCACCTCTTCAACCCTTCCCAGGGGCCTCTGAAACTCAAACCTGTCCCTATCTGGCTGGCTGGCATTCCTCGACACGCACCTACCCACCGGGAAGTCAGACAAGACCACCTTTTTCCTGCACCTCAGTATTCCCAAGATCCCACCAGTTGCTTGCCTTACCTAAGAAAAGGTACCTGTCTACACATACTCTTGACACCAAGATACGGAGCACTGGACGGATACCTGACGTACCTCACTTATCGACCGATGCAGCAAAGGTACCTTGCCATCCCGTTACCGCCAATACCTTGTTTGCCTCTGCATCGCCTCGCCTTGCGGTATTGCCGCACCTCGAGAACCCTCAAGAGGTACCTGTCACGCTACGTACCACTCTCACAGTTTTATCTGCAAAATCCCACGAAACACTCTCCCTCCCCTTTCGGCTTTCCATTTGCGCCAACCAACCATCCCCGACCCCGACACACCTCTCAGTGACACCAAGACCACGACGACTCCCTCGACTCAATTTCGAATCCCCTCCACTCGAACTCGACGACGAACGGCCACGATCCATCACGAACGCCCATCTCCTCTCTCTATCTCTTCTCAATCACAACTCCCCGACTACCTAGAGTCACCCGGGTTCCAGATTTCCATGTGTCGCTGCTGACGAGGTTCGACCTACCACTCCAAATCTCTCTCTACCTCGCCCGGCGCGAGCCTCGCAAGCTCCCCTTCACGGGACACGACACTCTCTACAGCGACCGCACTTGCCTCGGCGCACACTTCTAATCACCACCGACGCTCTTTTCGCTGTCCGTCGCAGTCGACGCGCTCATTTTTTGGCAAGATGATGTTGGACGAGAAGTACGTTTGCGACTCGGTCGGCCTTTTGGTCGCCCTCCAGACCCTGCCCATACGTCCACCTGGCCTCGGAACTCGAAATCGCTGACAGACCACCCGCGCAGATACATTGGCCTAGGCCTCGCCATGGCATCCAGTTTAGCCATTGGTATGCATTCCTTCCCCACAGTTTCTCGTAGGCTACATCGCTGACAATGCTCGTCTCACAGGTATTAGTTTCGTGGTTACGAAAAAGGTACGCGCGGTTCCTGATCGCTCGAGTTGCCCTTGGCACTACTTACAATTAGTCCTACACTGTATGGGAGCTAACCTATGGCTATAGGGTCTTATGCAAGCAGAAGAACGTCATGGCTTTGAGGGTGACGGATTCGTATATTTGAAGAGCCCGGTTTGGTGGGCTGGTATCTCAACTTGTGAGTCTGCATTAGGACCTCGACGAAAGGCGACGAAGCGGCTAACACATGGGTAGTGGTCGTTGGAGAAATCTGCAATTTTGCTGCCTATGCATTCGCGCCAGCCATTCTCGTCACACCTCTTGGAGCTCTCTCTGTTCTGATCGGTGCTGTTCTGGGTTCATACTTCCTGAAGGAGGAGCTTGGAGTTCTGGGTCGCCTGGGCAGTGCAATCTGTCTAATCGGCGCCGTCATCATTGTGCTGCATGCGCCCCCAGATGAAGATATCCAGACTGTTGACCAGATCCTGCACTACGCCATTCAGCCGGGTATGTCAACAATTCTGCATAATAATGCGCCTGAGGACTAATCCCTTTGTTAGGCTTTTTGTTGTATGCCTTCACTGTTACCGTCTTCGCAGTGGTCATGATTTACAGAGTTGCGCCGCTCCACGGAAAGAAGAATCCGATCATCTATCTCTCTATTTGCTCAACTGTTGGATCAGTCTCGGTCATGTCTGTCAAGGCCTTTGGAATCGCCCTCAAGCTCACATTCGCCGGAAACAATCAGTTCAGCCACCCTTCGACTTACGTTTTCATGATCCTCACCACCGTTTGCATTCTGACGCAGATGAACTACTTCAACAAGGCTCTTGCTCAGTTCCCCACCAACATGTAAGTCAAAGAACGCCGAGCCTGTGATTGCCAAATAGCGCTAATCGAGGACCATGTAGTGTCAACCCCCTCTACTACGTTACCTTCACGACGATGACCCTATGCGCCTCCTTCATCCTTTTCGGCGGTTTCAATACAACCGACACGGTCAACACGATATCCCTTCTCTGCGGTTTCCTGGTCACTTTCACCGGCGTCTACCTGTTGAACCTGTCGAGATCTGACCCGAACGGACACAAGTATGTTGCAGGCCGCGGCGGCGACGATGCCACCGGCACGGACATGATCTCTACAATTCAGACTCGTTTGAGTATGCAGGCACGCCGAAGTGGAGACCCCCACCGGATGAGCATTGGCAGCCGTCACGGCGATACAACAGGGTTGATGAGGGCCTACGATGAGGAGGCTGGTGCCGAATTCGGTCTGACCGATCTGGCCGATGAGAGTGACGACGACAATGACCACCACAGAGCCAACGGGTCCGCCAACGGCCATTCGAAAACATACAATGAGACAATCGAGCTTCAGAACCAGAGGTCCGACAGATGAGGGACCTGGAGGATGAACCGTCTGTTTTCTAGCTATCGGCCAACACCGAGGCGGTGATTGTCTTTTTTCTTCGAAGCATTTCTTACCAGGGGCCCGAATGGGGGCAGCATTGTACATTTTCGCGAAAGTCAAATGACTGAGAAGTTTTCCACGACATGATCGGATTCATGAAAGAGGCAAAGACCCACGGAACAAGGCGCGCGTCCTGAGTGAGGGAGGGGGAAAAGCACCAAAGGGAAACCCCAGAATCGAGCTTTTCCCCATACTATTTCACTTCTGCTACGGCACGAGGAGTATTCACTGGGCAACGGGAGGGATCACTACTTGAGGGGCGTTTATCGGGGTTTCCAATGGATACTGGGTGTGCGGAAAGCACCTCTTGTTGTACGATTAAGGGCAAGGCGAATGGGGGAGAGGTGTATGAGGGCGAGAGAGAGAGAGAGTGAGAAGCATACCCTGGTTCGCCTGGAGACTGGCATCTTCTGTTCACTCTTCAAAGCATTTCAAAAACCATAGACGTAGGCTGAGGCCTAGAGCCTCGCGAATTGAGCATCATGGATCGACTACAAACCACCATCATCTAGCAACAAAGTGACAGGATGGGCGAGTAGAAACAGCTTGGACTGCTGTGCTCATCAACGAAGACGCAAGAGTGAGGTGGCTCATGACTTAGACGGCAGGACCTCTGATCATACCCGGTGGATTATAGATGGCGTCACGTCTTGGGCATGCAATTTACTTTTGAATGATTTCGTTGCTCATTTCATGGTTTGTTCTACCATTACAAGCCAGTCGCAACTATCCGAATTCCCTTTCGCAGAGTAATGCAAATGTTGATCAAGACGCCTGAGTAGTTATTCCACCCCCGTCCTCCCATTTTTGCTGGTCTTTTCGCGCGAAATACCCCGTTTTTTGTATTCCCCTAGTCTGGTATTGGAAGAAAACTAGAGTGAACAAGAAGACAGAAGCGTGCGACAAAGAGAAGCAGACTCGAAAAATCCCCGCTTCACGCTGAACAGTTCTCCAGTCCCCTTTTGTGTGTTTACCAACCGGCGGGGCTGGAAGAGTCAGCCTGCTCGAAAGAAACCTGCAGCTCGCCAGTCTCCTACGACTGAGCCTCAGCCTCCTCGCCAGCCTCGGGCTGCTGCTCCGCTTGTTGCGCCTCAGCGGCGGCCTGGGCCTGGGCGGCCTTAGCGCCGTAGTCCTGGGACATGGGCTGGACGACGGACTGCTCCTCCTTGGGCTCAAGGATGGAGACGGCGTCGGGGAGGGTCTTCTGGGGGCCGGCCTTGCCCTCGGGGTCGGAACCGCGCATAATCTTGACCTTGATGCCGAGAACACCCTGGCGGAGGAGGACGTGGCGGGTGGCGTGGTCGATGAAGTCCTTGGCGGGCTGACCAGAGTGGATCATGAAGCCGTCGGTGAACTTCATGGACTTGGCGCGGGCGGCGCGGAGCTTGCCGGAGACGACGACCTCGCAACCCTTGGCGCCGGACTCCATGATGAAGCGGAGGACACCGTAGCAGGCGCGACGGACGGCGAGACCGTTAAGGAGCTTGTAGCGGAGGGACTCGCACTGGGCGACGGCGGAGAGACCGCGGTTCTGGACCTTGGCGGCGTAGAGGGAGACGGAGTTCTCGGGGAACTTGAAGCGCTTCTGGATGAGCGAGGTGAGCTCGCGGATGCGGCGGCCCTGCTCGCCGAGAACCTCCTGGGTGTGGGTGGCACGGATGATGATGTCGGTTACCGTGGGGGTGACGCGGACCTCGACGCCGGAGTAGCCCTCCTCGGCCAGCTCGCGCTGGAAGAACTCATTGAGCTCAGCGTAGAAGACGCCATCGGCGACGAACTTTCTGCGCTTGGAGCTATATTGGGGGAAAAAGACGAATCGTCAGCAAAGACTGTTCCTCCAAATGTTCATTTGTTTTTCCTTCGCAACATTTCCATCCCCGAGAGCATTTCATCCACCGGGGGAAATTCGAGATTGGCGAAATTTGGTCGATAGGCGGGGAGGAGGGATCTCGAGGAAATGTTGCAAAGGCAAAGCCACCATTGGAAACAGAGGAAGGACAATTCTTACATCTGAGTGCCTGGAACAGCCATCTTGACTTTCGTTTGCCCGAGTTTGTCGAAAGGGGGGGATAGTTGGACGAATTGTTGGAGTGTCGACGGTTTCGTTCGGCGGAGGGGCGGAAGGTTGAGAAGTGAGGTTGTTCGAGTAGTCCACACTTGCCCAATCGTCAGTGCCCCGGATCGATTTTGCGCTGTAAAAATTGAGCAAATTCTGTGTGCCCTAGAGAGGCGGGCGATAAGGGGAAACCTTTGGCATTTTGTGGTCTGTGCTCTATTCTTATCGAGACGCGCCAGGTCGCTGGCAGAGGACCCCACTTGCCAGCTGTGGTGACCTGCCAGGCGTAAAGTGCATTTTCCTCCTTGTCTGCCCGCCCCGGTCAGCAAAATCGATACGTACCCCATTCGAGTGCTCTTTGCACGTGCTGGCTGGCTGATCATCGGGACATCGGGAGAGAGAGCTCCGTCGGCCGGTAGTGGGGTTTCAAGGGGCCAGCTTTGGCTTGGTGGGGACCACAGTCGCGGGAATTTGGAGGTCCCCTGTCGGGTTGCAGGCTTGCAGCGTGCTGGCCACGACGGTGACGGTCACAGGGGAGCTGAGAGCGTCAGGTGGGTGACATTTGATGCTCTGGATCCAGATCAACATGCGATTCAGTACCAAGCTGCCTTGCCTCCTGGTAAAGAATTCACCAGATGAACTTTATCTAATGATTATCATATGGCATCTGATGGGTAGTCAATAATCGTAGAAGAGTTCAACTTCTCGAAAGCGCAGTTTAGTTTCATGAAAAAGGCTACATCACCCAACTTTGCTGATTTGGAAGAGAGCACTCAAGCACTGACACTGAAAGCCGTGACGTCGGCTCTCTGTTCTCAGCCCCGCGCTAAGCTAAGGGACCAGGTAGATGGTGTGGATCAGCCGCTCCTTCTCTTCCTGCTGCTCCTGCTCTTTGCGACTGCGCAGCAGCAAAATCAACCCCAGACAGCCGACCTCCGACCTGACAACCGCAACCGTCCCTCCCCACGTTACCTGACCTTGCCTCCAAACCTTACCCAGCCCAACCTTCCGACCTCCAACATCGTGTGGTTGCATTGATTTTTCTTTGGTCTCTTCTTTTCCCTATTCAACCTTTCTACCCTCACTGAAGTTGCGCAGCTTTTCTGCTGCTCTTCTTCCAGTGAATTTATCCACTTGCAAACACTTACCTCCCGGGCCTTCCGCATTTGCGCGCGGCCATGCTCTAGTAGCTCAAAAAAGCATCATCTTCCACATTGCACTTCACCATGGAGGCTAGGAAGGTAAGCCATGCGCGTTTTTCACAGACTGAATCTTCTCACACGATATGGCATGAAACGGAAAAAAACTGACCATGTCGTGATTGCAAAAATACAGGTAGTCGAAAACGTCCAGTGCATCAACGGAGGACTCACCTCGGTCGGTACCTTGCGCTTGACCGATTTCCACCTTGTCTTCTGCGCACCGCCACCACCTCCCAAGAACCAAACCGCCGACCAAGCCGATAAACCTCCCCCGAAACCTCGAGAATCATGGATCACCTATCCTATTCTATCGCAGTGCATACTCCGACTCATGCCTCCTACTCATGGCATTCACAGCTCTATTCGCATCCGCTGTCGCGACTTCATCTTTGTCACTTTCAACTTTGAGGACAATAACGTTGCTCGAGACGTCTTTGAGTTTGTGAAGCTCAGAACTTGCAAACTAGGCACCATCGAGAGGCTCTTTGCTTTCAGTCACAAGCCCTCCAAGGCCGAGCGACAGATCAATGGCTGGAGCATCTACGACCCCAAAGCCGAGTTCCGGCGCCAGGGCATTAGCGAAAAGTCGTCAGACAAAGGATGGAGAATCACAAACATCAACAAGGACTATACTTTCTGCGACACTTATCCCGCCGTTCTGGTGGTTCCCTCTTGCATCTCAGACAACGTTTTGAAATACGCCAAGGAGTATCGTTCCAGACACAGAATTCCCGCCCTGAGTTACATCCACGCAGACAACAACTGCACTATTACCCGCAGCTCGCAACCTCTTTCAGGCATTACCAGGAAGAACAATGTGCAGGACGAGAAGCTGGTCTTGGCTTCATTTGCACCTATCATGCCCCGAAGCAGCATTGATCAAGACCAGCCTCCTCGCCTAAGCCAGTCAGATATCTCTGAAAAGTCGTCCACAGATGGAGAGCTCTCTGAGCAGATTGTCGCAGACGATGAGCCCAAGATGTTTGATGAAAACGGCAAACGCCTCATCTATGGTGCCCAACAAGCCAACATGATTGTCGACGCCAGACCTACTGTGAATGCCATGGTCAACCAGATTGGAGGAATGGGCTCAGAGCCCATGGACCGCTACCCAGGTGCCAAGAAAGCCTTCATGAACATTGAGAACATCCATGTGATGAGGAAGTCGTTGGAGAGTGTTATGCTTTGTCTCAAGGATGCCGACCTGTCTCCTTTGTCTCCTGACCAGAACGCCTTGGCTGCCACCAACTGGCTGAAACACACGCAAGCTGTTTTGAATGGAGCCGATATTGTCGCCAAGCAAGTATGGTTGAAGCAGTCGCACGTCCTCATTCACTGCTCCGATGGCTGGGACCGAACCAGTCAGCTTAGTGCTCTTGCACAGATCATGCTGGACCCTTTCTTCCGAACTATCGAAGGGTTCATTGTTCTCGTCGAGAAGGACTGGCTTGCCTTTGGCCATATGTTTAGGCTTCGATGTGGCCACTTGAACCACGAGGACAACTTCAAGGTCCAGAACGACTCGATGGCAGGCTCAACCATCCAGCCTGGAGAGAATGACGGCCGCGCAGATGCCTTCCAGAATGTCTTCACTGGTGCCAGGCAGCTGTTCAATCCCAGCAAGGAGGACAAGGCTGAACTCGATGCCATTACCGAAGGCTCTACCGGAAAAGTCGCAAAAGACGAGGCTACTGTTCCTAAGATGGTCAGCCCTGTGTTCCACCAATTTGTGGACTGCGTCTATCAGCTTCTCCGCCAGAACCCGACCAAGTTTGAGTTCAATGAGAGATTCCTTCGTCGACTGATCTATCATCTCTACTCCTGTCAATATGGCACCTTCCTCTACAACTCCGAGAAACAGAGACACGAGGCTCGTGCCTCTGAGCGCACTTCTTCGGTCTGGGACTACTTCTTGTCCCGTAAGCCAGAGTTTACCAACAAGGACTATGATCCGACCTTCGATGAGTATGTTAAGGGCCGCAGCCGTATCATAGTGCCAGATATGACCAACATCCGCTGGTGGCACCAACTCTTCAATCGGACCGACGAGGAGATGAATTCGCACCTCAACGCCGTAGCGACCGCTGCAGCCAACAGAGCTACAGCCATGAACGAACTGCACCCAACTACGGAGGATTCTTACGCGAATAGCCAGCCTGGTACCCCGCCCCAATCCACCGCAAGCCCCAAGCCGCCTTCTCTCCCTACCAGCCAGTCGGTTCTGGGAGGTGTAGAGAACACGCACACTACTTTGACGCCCAATTATCAAGAGCGACAGGCCCCGGTTCTCCGTCGAAGTGTGTCGGCCGAGAACTCCAATGCCTTCAGTGCAGTAAGAGATGGAATCGCGGGCTTGAACATTGGCAAAAACGTCAGCGGAATGCTGAACAATCTGGCCGGACGTAACGCCAGTCCTGCTTCCACTTCGAGGGTTACAAGTCGCAGCGAGCAAGAGCTCCGGGAGATGACATAGGGCGTCATGTTCGAACGAATGCACGACGCGCCGTATACCGTCGAGGTGACTAGTGCTACAATGAAACTCGACGCCGAGCTCTTCTACCAGGAGAATTGGGCTGACTCAACTTATACGTTGAGCAACTGGGGCGATTCAACAATCTGGGAATGGGGTACTAAAGCCGTCGCCAACGTCGCCAACTTGAGCAACGACTGGTCAAACTTGACCGATGGCTTGGCCGAGGACACCCCTCATGGAGATACTTGCGCTGACAATATCGCCCGCGATGATGATGATGACGATGGCGTCTGTGTCACTGGAGATGCGTCAACCGACATTGACGGCGGTTCCGACGCGTCCTCGGTTCATTCTCTCGATAGTGTCTCGACAGGGGATGTTGCCGATGTTGGCAACTTCATTTTGGTGAACACGAGCACGGAGGCCGTGTCTGCCGAGAACGGCGGATCTGTGACTCCCAGCCACTAGCCGCAGAAGACTTCCTAGTTCAACATTTCAGGAGTTTAGCATGTACTTGCTGCATTTTCACCGCACAACTACGAAGGGCACGAAAGAAATGGGGTCTCTCAGCGAACGCAATTCCAACACGTTTGCCTTGGAGGGGACGAACTGATTTACGGCTTTTCATGACAGCGAGCCGGAGTTTTGTACAAGTATTACGACTTTTTTCTTCCTTTTTTCTTTTTTTGACGCATTCGCCCCTTTTTCTCTCGACGTTCGTCGTGCTGGATACACAGCAATTCTTTTTCCCCTTGCTCTGTTTTCCGGCGTCCAAGAGGTATGATTGCGTTCAAGACTGGTAAAGGGAGGGTTCAAAACGGGGTCAGGGGATGAAACGGATTCGTTCATACAGCAGCAACGCGGTTTGGGAGGGCAGGGGGGCAAGAGAAAAGTTTGCGTGAATGGACATACGCACAGGGAGACACGAGAGCAAGACAGAAAACGAGAGACGAGAGATGGGAGAGAGGTGGAGAGGCTTGGAGGTCCGTCGTATAGATCCACTTGGATTTTCGAACTCCTGTGTACTCTCGATTCCATAATTCTAATCAGTCTGAAGTTAACCGTTGCTCCCATAACGATGTGCGCGATAACATGCATCAGTCGCCAGGCGCGTGCGGCATACCAAACTATCATGGCTTGTAAGAAACCTACCCTCTGCACTCAGTAGGTAGGTCACGACGGGTTTCTCTTTTTGTTTGATCTTTTTTTGTTATTCTTGGGTGCCCATTGCCTCATCTAGCTCGCCTAGTGTAAAGAACAAAGTCTATGTCCGACCGCCTTACGTCTAGCAAAGCCTTTT